GGCTCTCCATTGTGAGATGTACAGTCCGGTCAAGAAAGACAATTCTCAGTGTGCATGAAATGACGCAAAGGATGCACCCTAGACCATTCTCACAGATGAGCCACGTGGGTGTGTTGGAGGCAGCTGAGATGCAGGGAGGATGTGGGTCCAAAGAGGAACGGGGGAGGCAGCACAGGGAATGGATGCGAAGGTCTTACCGTTGCAATGACTCAGCCTTCGGATGTACATGCAAGAGGTAACATGCCCACGTTTTCCAAGCCTGGTAGAAGGTACGGTTACACATCTGAACTTGTTACGATGATGCATTCCAGGGAAAATTACACATAAGAGGAAAATGCTCAAAACAGAACTTTTGCTGGACATCAAACAATAAAAATAAGAGAGAGTACATCCGAATTGTCAGAGCATGGAAAAGAAGGTAATTTGAAGAGAAATCAGAGTAACTATCTGGAAGAGAAACTTAATATCTCTACTGAGACTAGGAAGAACTTTGGTCATACAAAGTCAGGAAAGAGAAATCAAGGTGTTCAGCATGACGTGAGACCATATGAATGTTCTCATTGCAGGAAATTACATCCAGAGTTTTTAGAATCCAGGAAGCAATGTGAACAATTATTGACTATTATAATTTACTCATTAAATAATTTACCCATGTCAATCTTCTGCTTGTTGGTTTTGTAGTCCTTTGAAGTTAGTCTTAAAAGTGAGAGGGTTCAAAGCCAAGGGTTCAAAGGGATTATCCCAAAACTCTCTGCTCCCCGTAGCCTCTTACATTCACCCAGACTAAGTCAGGGAATACTCAGAGTTTCCAAATTTGAGGCACAGAAATAAAGGACCACCTGATCAGCCTCTCCAGCATAAAAACCCAAACAGCAGCAGAATCAAAGCAAAGCAAAAATGTAGCATTGAAACCAGATTGGAAAAACGAAGGAACACAAACTTGAAACACTGAACTTTATTTACATTAAGGGGAGACAAAAGGGTAAACTATCATTCTCTATTAATGATAGAGAACCAGAAATGCCCCTTTTGGAGAAGCCTGAGAATCGGGATACAACGGTTGGAACAGCAGAGAAACCCTTTGAGATAGTCCTGCAAGCTAAAGTAGAAAGCCCCACCTACCCTAACCTAACTATTCTGAGAGGGATGGTTTAACTTGGAGTCTGCGCTGAGCTGGGGGTTAGACCTGATGACCCTCTGGCCCCTTCCAACTCTACTCTTCTATGATTCTGTGATTATCCAAGCTCAAGACCTTCACACAAGCGAGGGCCTTAATAGGATACCAGGTTTACAGACCTGCAAGCCAGCTGCAGGTGAAGCCTGAGGATCAATGGGCCATCCCGAATGAAGGCAAGTAACCGCGATCAGCCGTCACCCCCTTTGCTTTACATTTGTTTATGATTTATTCATTTTGCACTGCATTTGTATGCCACACTCACAGCTGGGAGGATCTCTGGGCTGTTTATAGCACATACAGTAACAATAATTAAAACAATTCCATGAAAATAATTAAAAGAAAATTAATAAAGCAGATATTAGTTTAATAAGAAAACTATTTATGCAGCCAAATTAGAAACAGTCGTAATAAATGAAATTATCTGGTGGCTTATATTCCTACGCCACCTCCTTCGCAAGTGTCAGATCAGCCTTGATGGCCAGTCGCTGTTGGCTGGACAACTTCCTTGGCTCCCAAGAACTGCGGCGGACCCTCTCCCCCCCCCATCCCTCAATTGGCCTGCCTGTTGAATTGCAAATATGGATTTTTGCTCTTCACTCATTCCAACATATGGAAAGGAACAGCGCTATTATTATTATTATTATTATTATTATTATTATTATTATTATTATTATATTTCTATGCCGCCCCTTGCCGAAGCCTCGGGGCGGCTTACAACACAATAAAATACATTGAAATACAATAGAACATAATAAATTACCACTAAATACAAAAATACAAAAAATACACTGAGATACAAACATAATAATATAAAATTAAAATTAACAGTATAAGTAAATAAAGAATATAGGAGCATAACGCCCCGTCCCCGTCAGCAACCTGGCAGCTCTATTTTGCACCAATTGAAGTGTTCGGACCGTCTTCAGGGGAAGCCCCACGTAAAGCGCATTACAGAAGTCTAGGCGGGAAGTCACCAGCGTGTGTGCTTTGTACATGCTCACTCTACCTCTTCCTCACCTGCCCTGGTAAAAGGTAAAGGTAAAGGTTTCCTCTTGACATTAAATCCAGTCATGCCTGACTCTAGGGGGTGGCGCTCATCTCCGTTTCCTAGCCGAGGGAGCCAGCGTTTGTCCGCAGACGGTCTCCGTGGTCGTGTGGCCAGCATGACTAAACACCAAAGTGCACGGAGCGCTCCTGCCCTGGATATCCTATAAATAAATAGGGGCCCTGCGAGTCCCACTGCCCTACATCGGCCAGGCGCACTCAGCCCCGCATCTTCCCTGCCATTTCTGCTCTCATGCTGGAGAGAACCGTAGGTTGTGGGGCAGCTGGACTTAAGCATGTTTCGCATGCCCCCTTTTCTCAGATGGGAAGGAATGGCCACGGCAGGGAACTGCTTGTGCCGCAACAGTCGCGGTCGCATTTAATGAGCAAATTCTGCCATGAGAAACTGATAGGCACATCCTCTCCTCTCGCTCTGCACTGTGTTGCTGCCGTTTCCCGTACGGCTTAAGGAAAGATGGAGGCCGAGGACTCGGTGCTCGCTTGCTCTCTGCCCTTCCTTGCGTTAATGAGATTGCAACATACAGCAAGAGTCATATGGCTCAATGTGAGGGTTTTGAAGGTTAATACTACAATTATATCCCACCCTTCTTCCTCTCGCAAGGAATTCAGGGTGGCTTACATACATACTCGGCTCAACAATACTGCAGATGAGAAGGATCTTGGGGTGGTTGTAGATCACAAGCTAAATATGAGCCAACAATCAGAAGCAGCTCCAAAAAGGGCAAATGCTATTTTGGGCTGCATTCACAGAAGTCTCACTTCCAAAATGCTTGAAGTACTAGTTTCCCTATACCAGGGGTCGGCAACCTTTAACACTCAAAGAGCCATTTGGACTCATTTCCCACCCTAAAGAAAACACCAGGAGCCGCAAAACCCTTTTGACAGCTAAAATGAAGATAACACTGCATATATCATTTTTTACCTTAATGCTAGGTATATCTTCATTATGATTTAGCTGCAGCTCTTGTTCAGTCACTAAAAACTGTTATTTTTAATCTTACATTATAAACTAGGACTCCTTTCATATATTTTGAATAGGAGAACCACTTCCTGAAGAGTCAAAGTCAGTGCTAAAGGGCTGCATGCATTAAACAGCAAACCCCATAACTTCGTCAGGAGTAAAAGCAAATGAATCTACCCACGTATCATTAAACGCTTGGTTTTCTTCATAAACTTTGATTTGTCCATGGTTGGCCTGGGGGGGAGGGGAGCTCAATAAATCGGGGGGGGGGTCCCTGCAGATCAGTGGGCTGTGCTGGAGATATAGGTGCGTTTAGTGACTGATTAGCAGATAAACAGGCAAGTGCTGTGAATTGTGACAGGTCCCAAGCCCAGCTTTTAACATTCAGAGGAAGGAGATTACATTGGGACAAAGAGAATCCTTTCAGCAGTGTTTCCTGTAACATGAGAGTCTGCAGGAAGCTTGTTTAGCGAGGGATTTACTTAATTAGTTGATTTACTTAACTAGCTAGCACTGAGTTCCTGAGTGGAGCTTCGAGCAGAGCCAGAGCCGCAGCAGAGGGTTTAAGAGCCACGTGTGGCTCCAGAGCTGCAGGTTGCTGACCCTGGTCTATACTCAGCACGTCAGACCTTACCTGATGTACTGTGTCCAGTTCTGAGCACCTAAGTTTTAAAAAGATGTAGAAAAGCTAGGAAGGGTATGGGGGGGGGGCAGAGAGGGCAACAAGGATGATTCAGGGATTGGAGGCAAAGTCCTGTAAGGAAAGACTCGGAGAACTGGGTATGTTCAGCCTCCGGAAGAGAAGACTGAGGGGTGATACGATAGCACTCTACAAGTAGGAAAGTCACAAAGAGGAAGGGCAAGATTCCCATTCATTCCAGAGTGCGGGACATGGAATAATGGACCTAACTTAAAAGAAACCAGATTTAGACTAGACACCAGGAAGAACTTCCCGGCTGTCAGAGCAGTTCGACAATGGAACTGATTACCTGGGGAAATTGTGGGCTCTCCCTCACTAGAGACATCCAGAAAGTGTCTGGACAGCATCTGAGTGGGGTGGTGTAACCTGGTGTCCTGCAACAGCAGGGGGGTTGGACCTGATGTACTCCTGGCCCCTTTGAACTTTACTATTCCATGATTCTATGACAGCGCTCCTGCTCCTGCCAGTCTTAACGCTCACAACAACAACCCTGTGAGGTAGATTGGGCTGAGAATCAGTGACTAACTCAAGCTCACCCCGTGAGCTTCATGGGGACTAGAAGCCGGATCTCTTGTGTCTCAGTCCCGCATTTTAAACCACTATGCCACACTGGATCGATTGTCCAAAAACTCACTGGTATTCAGTCCCTATTTCCTTTCCCCAGTTGTAGGGTCATAGCAAAACATCTCTCTTTATTCTGTCTCTGAGCACCTGCTTGGACAGATGCCTTCAAGATCTGCATCCCTGGTATGGTTTTAGCTTCCCGCGATGCCCGTGATCCAGGCATTTGACCAAGACTCCCTTGCCAACGTGCAGAAGGCGGCCGGGCGCGGGTGGGAGAGCGCCGGCGGCACAGGCGTCCAGGAGGGGGCGTCAGGAAGAGCCCCATCCGCGGCTCAGCCCATAAACCGCGGAGGAGGAAGGGAGGGAGGAGGAGCAGGAAGCCGGGGGAGCGGGCGAGCGAGCAGGCAGGCAGGCAGGCATCTGCCCTGGCAAGGAGCCGCTGCCGCCCGCGGCCCCCGTCGTCCGCCCGCCCGCCCGCCCTGCCTCCCGCTGCGGCGGCAGGAGGGAGCGTGTCCGCGGCATCCCGGGAGCCACGCGCAGCCGCCGCGCGCAGCCGCCAGGCTCCCACCGGCTTCCTCGCTCGTTCCGGTGAGAGGATTTGGGAGCTCTGTTGTTGCTGGGGGGAGGCCGTCCAGGCCACGTGCCCGGGGCGGGGCTGTCCTTAAAGCCGCAGTGCACCGCACTCTTACTTCGGAGGAGACCCGCACAGGGTTGCTCTGTAAGTTGTGCGTTGCATTGCATTGCATTGCGTTGCATGGCATTGCATGGCATTGCAAAGAAGAAAAGGAAGACCAAAATATGAGATGGATGCGAGCCATAAAGAGAGTCACGGCCTTAAACTTGGAAGAGCTGAGCGGAGCTGTTATGGGAGGACATTTTGGGGGAGGGGCTGCCTAAGTTGCAGTTGACAGCACATGACAACAATAGTTATATGCTGCCTTTTTTCTTCTGGTAAGGAACCCAACACTGCTTAGCTGCATTTTAGCCTCACAACAACCCTGTGAGGTGGGTTATGCCAAGAGCTGGTGGCTGGTCCAATGTCGCCCAGTGAGCTTCATGGCTGAGTGGGGACTGCAACCCGGGTCTTTCGAATTCCAGTCGTCCGCTCTCACCACTACACCGCACCACCTCTGCCCTAGTCATGACCTACAATATTAGGGGAATAACACTGGGCTAGGATCACTGGCTGTTGCAAGCAGCATTTCCCCTCTTTTTCTCTGCAAAATGCAGTTTTGGGTACTAGCCTATATTACAATATCGGTGTCCTGTCTTTCAGTATTGTTTCCCTTTTGCCATTTGCAGGATCATTTTAAGCCTCTCTTATTTTCCCTTTTCCCCATTTGCCATAAGAATGCACAGGGCAAATTTTCAGGGTTATTTATTGACATGTTTAAAACAATGGAGTAAACATTTGTAGCACTTAAGAGGACAAGATGTTCAAAGTCTAGAACTGTTTGCTTTTTCTTTGCAGGGGTGAGGGGGTGGGTGTGATGCAGGAAATTCAAATCCTCAGGGATATTTCAATGAAAAGAGAAAGTCTTGTGAGATTTGAGCAGGTGTCCGCAGAATCCTTATTTTGGCAAGTGAAGTCAGATTGTCTTCTTACGTTGTCTGAACCTGGACAGCTTGTGCATGGTTAGCAGCTCAGGCTGCTGAATTCAGATAACATGAGAAGGCACTTCGAAACAAACATGGCTCGCAACCCATCATGGCTTATTGTGTTGTGCCAAAGTGGCCTTTTGGTACCTCCCAACCCTCCCTTTGTGAATTTGTCATTAGGCAGCTACTCCTATTCAGGCTTTTGTTACTATAGCAATAAAACTAGGCCTCAAGGCTACATGGATGCATTGTTGCAGCCTTGCCCAACCTGCTGCCACCCAGATGTGTTGGACTACATTTCCTAGCATCCCCTGGCCAGCCCTGCTGGGAATTGTGGTCCAGCAAATCCTCAGAGTGGGGAAGCCTGCATTCTTGCCTTATAGCAGCCCCCCAAGGCATTACTGAACAGCAGCGGTTACTCCATGGCATTTCTTCACACTGACTGGAATCACAACAAACAACCCTGCAGGTTTGTGGAGTTTTGCCCAAATCTATCCATCCGATGATCAATCACATGGTTCCCTGGGCAAGGCGGATTCCATATACCTCACTCCATCCTTCCAAGCATCTTGCCACGCATCACATTCAACACATTCTCACCACTCCAGTCCCCAAAGGTATTTTTATTGAATCTTAATAAGCACTTTTGCCATGATTTCCACCTCCTCCTCTCTCTGTGCATTCACCCACTTTCTCCCTGTTTCTGAAAGCAAACTGAGAAATAGGTATGTTGCTTGACCAATAGGAATAGAGCAAGTAATGACACATGTGTTGCTAGGGTGAGTAGGTAGTAGAGAACGGATGGCAGAGTGGTCACTTCTGTGGTCACTCTTTTCATGGGACTCTATGGTGTTTCCATATCAAAGGTAAAATGGAGGTCCTTGGTCTGAACAAATGGAGAAACATAGAAACAGAGTGAGTCAGAAGGGGTCTCCCAGGCCATCTAGTCTGACCCCTGGCTTTAGCTGCATTCGCTCATGTAATCCCGAACATGTGGGTGTCCAATTTTTCCTTGAACATCCTCACTCAAAGAGTACCTTAAATATCTATGGGGTTATTTTTACTTATATTTTGCAGCCACTTGATGATGCGATCTGTTGCTTGTTCCGGCTCTGTGTTCTGGTTTTAAAACAGTTAGAAATGTTGGATAGTAAACTTCTGCAGCTTGTTCCAATTATTTTTTAAAACTCCATTACATCTCCTAAATCTTGGTTATCTCTAAGATATTCCGCATGAACTAATCTAATTTCATAACATTCTAACTGTAGATTTGAGAGGTGGAAAAAATGATGAAGGAGGAAAAACCTGCATGTTTAGATTTAGAAGAAGCACCAGTCACAGGGGGAAAAGTCACCAGTTCCTCTCAGACTTCAGGATGGGGAATGTTGCAGATGGACAAGGGGAAGCCTTTCAGAGGGATGCCACAATGCTGGGAAACCCAATGGCAGGAGTTGCTGAAGACACTGCAGCCCCTTCACATGGGAGGGCAAAACCTAGTGATGTCAGAAACTGCCCTGTGGGAAGATGCCAAGGCCTTCCTGGCCTCCTTCGAGCAGGTGGCCAAGGCCTGCCGGTGGCCTAGAGAAGAGTGGGTGGTCCGGCTCTTTCCTGCACTGAGCGGGGAAGCTGAGCAGGCCTTTCGAAGCCTGGAGGCTGGAGATCAGGAAGACTATGGGAAGGTGAAGGCCGCCATCTTGCGAGGGGAGGCCCTGAGGATGGAGATGCAACGTCAGCTTTTCAGGCAGTTCTGCTGCCAGGAGGTGGAAGATCCTCGAAAGCTTCACAGCCAACTCCAGGAGCTTTGCTGCCAGTGGCTAAAGCCAGAGACACACAGCAAGGAGCAGATCCTGGAGCTGCTAATCCTGGAGCAGTTCCTGGCCAGCCTGCCACCCGACCTCCAGGGTTGGATCCGAGCAGGGGGTCCAGACACCTGTTCCCAGGCTGTCTCCCTTGTGGAGGAATTCTTGATGAGCCAGCGAGCAGCTGAGTCAGGGAACTGGCAGGTGAGGCTTTCAATTTCATTCTGTCTCTGAGAGGACCAGAATGTTGATGTTAGAAACATCTTCGTTCATTTGCATAGAATGAATGACACATAGGAATAGATGAAAACATCTGGAGCAGCTTGCCTTCACTTGCTGTTCTCCATTCCAAATAAAAGCATTCTCTTTTGTAACACCACCACACACAATGCCTCTCTTTTGGTTTAGTAGACTTTTTTCAGTCTAGTTTCCTGGGTTGTATATCTGTCTCATTGTCTGTGAAGTCGCGTTGTGGCCAGAATTGTATGCACATGCTTTATGGTAAGATTTCTAGGAATCAATGTGAGAAAACTTGCATAGGATCTGATGACACACAAGTCGCGTCCCTCTTGTCGTCTGAGTGGGATCATCCAACATGTTTCAGGTGCCGTTAAAGGAGGAGTGTGAGGATTCTCTGACCGCAGAGGAAGGCCCCCCAGGTTCCACAAAGGGAGAGGTCTACAAAGAAGTCAAGCAAAATAGCTATATGGATAGCAATATACAAGGTAAGGGCTTGCTGAGTTACTGAGCTCCGATCCAGTTGTGTTTGCTGGATGCTTTAAAGTGACTGGATAGAAAGGCCAACTTCTGTACCTGTCTCAGTCTTTCAGAACAGGAGGCTTTTGCAAATGCAAGGGATTATAATGACTCGCGCCAGCAGAATTTATTTATTTATTTAAAACATTTCTATGCTGCCCCATTCGCCGAAGCCTCGGGGCAGCTCACAACATAAAATTAAAATATAAAACATTCAAATACACAACAAATTAACAATTTTTCATGCCACATTTGCCAATACAGAATGCTTGCCCTCTGTTTGCATACTTGTTTGCATTCTCCTCAGATCCAAAGCTACCCAGTTTTTCAGACTTTCTCAAGTCAGTTTTCTGTTTTTGCTTCTAAAGATCATTTTTCTTCCATTTCATATGCATTTATTTGTATATTTACTGTATATTGTTGGGATATTTTAGTGTGCGTTTCACCTTGGGACTCCGTTTGGCTGAAAGGCAACTAACTTGTGAGTAATTGTGTAAACAAACATGGACACCTCTTTTAAAATCTCCGTTCATTCCTTGACAGACTGTGGAATCGAACGCTCAACTCATGCCAATCCATTGCTTCCTGCTGAACCACAGGAAATGGTCCAAATTTGTGTGCAAGAGGTACGGGCATTTCGTTATGTTATGTGCATGCTTGGAAATATATAGGAACATGGAAGGCTTCTTCAAATCAGGGCTGTTGAACTGCTTTCCGTTTAAGGGTCAGAGATGCTCTTGTGGTTAGATTCCAGTGGTTGGCAGGGCTAAATACGAATAGGATAGGCCGCAATGCTAGCATATTTAAACTTAAAGCTCGTCCTTCCAGTAGCTAAGCCACAGGAGAAGCATTGCAGCTTTTGGGAGTAGGAAAAAACTGCACAAAAGCTGGGAAAGCACTAAATGATTGGTGGTTGGTAGAATGGGGATGATGCAGGGGAAGGGGTACAGACAGTCCCGCGTTCGGAACAAGTTCCGTTCCTGAGATAAGGGAAATTCACCTTTAAGTCAAATTGGTATGTAAGTCAGATCAGCCCTCCACATTTGCAGGGGTTAGGGGCACAGGAGCCCCTTGAAAGTTGAGAAACCATGAATATTTCTCACCCCCCACTGCTTAAACTCATCAGCACCTCCTTTTTGCAGCAGGGAAATTCTGGAAAGATTCCCCTCTCATGGGCAGGGCAGGAAGGCATGCTTTGGAGGCCTCACTCTTTATCTTTTGCTTTCTCTCTCCATGGTGATGCCTTGGGGACCTTCCCCCTCTCCCCTTTCACTTCCTCTCTCTCTATGGCAGTGGTCCCCAGCCAAGAAATGTTTATGTTGACACCCCGACAAAAGTAATATCACATTTGAAGATAAGTCAAGTTTCTAACCGACAAGTTTTATGTCCAAACAATGCAAGCAAAATAATTTTATTATTGGGCTAACTTTTGGTGGAAAAGTTGCAATTCGTCAGTTTTCGCAAATCGCGGCGCAGCCACCCTTGCAGCCTTCCTTCGGGCACCCCAGGTTGGGAACCAATGCTCTTTGGTAGTGACAATTTTCGGCAGCAGTGCAGTAATTTATTAAAATTAGGCTGTATGACAGTCTGTTTGTAAGTACGGGTTGTTCGTTACGTAGATGTTCATAACCCAGGGGCTGCCTGCATTTGTTATCTAGAGAAATCCAGAGGGATGAATTGGGGCCCTAAGTGGGTTGGATTTGGCCCCTGGGCCACGGTTGTAAGCACTCCTACTTGAAATGTGGACCCCTCTCTGTGGGATGAGATCTTAATGCAGCTTAGGGAAAGTGCTCTGCGGATATGTAGCATTGCAGCCCGAGGCCTCAGCTGCAAGGTGTCGCAAGCAGGGACCAGGGCACTCAGATGTGGGACACTGAAAAGCAGCAATTACAGTGTTCGGCTGATGAGGCAATTTCCTCCTCGTATTGGTTTCACTGAATTCTTACCAAGGGAGTGATGTTTCTAATAGGAACTGTCCTGGATATCTGGTGAGTGTATAATATTTTTTCTTTCTTCAGCAACAAAATCTTATGGTGACGTCCTTTTTTTCGGCCTGCAGGAACCGACGGAGGCCAAGGAAACTAGTCTGTCTTTGCACATCATCAGGCTGAGCCCGACTCAGCCAAGCCAACAAACCATAGTTTGGCAAGTCCAGCCGGAAGATGTGGGCAACGCGGATCCTTTGGGTAAGGACCTCCTTTGCGCTGCTCCTGGAAACCCAATAAACAAAGCCAGTCCAATTGCCATTTGCAGGACTGGAAACAGGTGATAAAAGAAAGCTGCTCTTTCAGTATAGAAACCGGACACAAATGAATTGTATTTCATTTCCAGTTCTTTTGAGTGCACTATTTACCAAATGCTGGAAAGCTAGAATGAAAAGGGGTAATAGGAGCAATCCCCAAATTAGATTATTAGTCCAGATTTGAATTATTGTTGGCCATAATTTCTTGTAAATTGCCCAGAGCCTTTGAGAAAGAGGCAGTATATAAAATTCAAAATAAATAAAACATAAATACAGACTGCAGCAGTGTGGGATAATGAAGACCAGGCAAGTTAGCTTTGCCACATGTTTCTTTCACTGGACGATTGCCTCCTCTGTGCCTGATCTTGCCTAATCTCAGAAGCTAAGCAGGGTTGGACCTGGTGAAATCTGGATGGGAGACTTGAATGTTGTGAACCGCTCAGAGAGCTTCAGCTCTGGGCAGTATAGAAATGTAATAAACAGTAATAATATTCTGCTGGAGGAGAATATTAGTTGGACACAGCCCATCTTTTGTTGGATTTCGCATATTTTTTGGATGCCTTGCTTCTGTGGAACAGTTTCTTAGTTTGTAGAAAGTGGAACTGGCTGTTTTAAGACACAGTTTATAGTTTATAATATAGTTAATATTTCAAATTAATGTTAATTATGTTAACTCCCTCATCTTGTGATTTATTTTTATTTATTTATTAGGATATTTTTATCCCATCCATTCTGGTTCAGCTCTGGACTGCTTACAATATAGAACACCTAATAAATACATCAGAAGAACACACTACTGAGGATATCAATAAAACCATAATTAAAATATTTAAACTGTAAAATATCAGGTAAATAAAAAGGTCTTGACCTGGTGCCAAAAAGCATATAACATCGGTGCCAGGAGAACCTCTCTGGGGATTGATTGAGTTCTATAGTTTAAAAACTACGGCCCCACATCAAAGGAGATGGTTGACGTGATCTTGGGAGACAGAAGGAAAGATGGATGCAACCAAAACAGAAATACCAGAGAAAAGAAAGTGACAGGTAGCTCAAAAAAACCCTCACCAGAGCATGAATGTCATTTTATTTATTTATTTATTTATTTATTTATTTATTTATTAAAACATTTCTATGCCGCCCCTTGCTGAAGCCTCGGGGCGGCTCACAACATAGAATAAAATACACAATAAATTAAAACAATAACAATTAAAATATATACAGTAGAATAAAATAAGCCACCCTGGCCAAATAAAATTCAATAATATTAACATTTAAAATGCTGCTTAAATAAAAAGGTATTCACCCGGCGCCGAAAAACAAATAACGACGGTGCCAGGCGGACCTCTCTGGGGAGCGCATTCCATAACTTAGGCGCCACCGCTGAGAAAGCCCTCCTCCGAGTACCCACCCTCCTAATTTCCTTCATTGAGGGCTCCCGGAGGAGGGCCTCTCCCGCTGATCTCAGGGGGCGGCTGGGCATATATGGACGTAAGCGCTCCTTCAGGTAACCAGGACCCTTGTCCTTTCTGTCTCTGCAGGTAACAAAGTACGCAGTCATTTCAAGAGGGAGAATTCTCAGGGTGCACCAAATGACCTGGGGGGTGCAGCCAGGGCAGCCCCACAGACAAGCCAAGCGACAGTTGTAATGCATGGGGAAGGGTGTGAGTCCACAGGGGGACAGCAGCCCGTGAAGACAGAGGATGAATGCGGTGATACTGCAGGAGGTCTGACAACTGCTGCGAACCAGCCTCGCAAAGTGCACCCGAGGGATAACACACCCACGTTCTCCAAATTTGGCAGAAGGTATCGGTACAGATCAGAACTCGATATGGTACACTCCAGCGAGGACTGTGATGACTGTCCCATTTCAGAGGAAAACCTCCAGCAGAATGCATGCTTTGAGCAGGATCAGAGCACGATAACGGGAGAGAGGAAATCTGAATTCCCAGAGCATGGGAAAAGGGCCAGTTCGGACAGATACCACAGTAGCTACACAGAAGAGGAACCTTATAATTCTGCCGATTGTGGGAAGAGCTTTAGTTATACAAAGTTGTTCGATAGTAATCAAGGAATTCCAAGTGAAGGGGAGCAGCACGAATGTCCTCACTGCAAGAAGCCCTTCAGTCAGAGAGAACATTTAATGAATCATGAGGCAGGTCGTGCTGGAGAGGAAGGGTGTGGATGTCCCCACTGTGGAAAACCTCTCCATTTAAAGCAAACACTAGTGAGACACCCGGAAATGCACGCTGGAGAGAAACCTCACCAGTGCCTTCAGTGTGGCAAATGCTTCAGTGACCGAGGTGTGCTGAAGGTACACCAGAGAATCCATACCGGGGAGAAGCCATACAAATGTTCTCAGTGTGGGAAATGCTTCAGGAAGAGTGGAAACTTGATGTGCCATCAGAGGATCCACACTGGAGAGAAACCCTACAAGTGCCCCCAGTGTGGGAAATGCTTTAGAGAGCGGGCCAAGTTGAAGATCCATCAGAGGATTCACACCGGAGAGAAGCCATACAAATGTCCCCAGTGTGAAAAGACTTTCAGTCGGAGTGAAAATCTGAAGAACCATCAGAGGATTCATACTGGGGAGAAGCCATACACGTGTTCTCAGTGCGGGAAATGCTTCAATCAAGGTGGACATTTGAAAAAACACCAGAGGATTCATACAGGAGAGAAACCGTACAAATGTTCCCAGTGTGGGAAATACTTTTGTCATAGAGGAGATCTGAAGAAACACGAGAGGATTCACACCGACCGTTTGAAAGTCATTGTGTGAGAAAAAAGCCACCAAAGAATACACTTGTATGACTGTCAGAGAATCCACACAGGAGGGGAGCATGGGTTCAGCTACCTGGAGTGTGGGGAAAATGTCTCTTAGTTCATCAGAATTGAGAGAATTTGCAGAGGACAGACATAAGGACAGAATAACTGTTTTCCTGAAAGATGAGATGATGACACAGCACAGGGAATCCCAGAGAATATGTATTGGTAGGTGTGATGGGCTGATGAATTTTCTGCCAAATAAGATGGTGAGATAATACAGGTAGGAGTGCAAGGGGGTAGGAGAAGCTGACAATGGAGAGATGATTAGATTGGACATCGAATAGCCAAAGAAAGCAAGTAATGAGGGGAGAGCGTCATGGCACGTAATGCACTTCCCTCATGGAAGAAGAACACGTGCGAATCGAATGAATGAGGTCATAAACTCTTTCTGCAAATCTTTATAAAAAGAACATGGCATAAGAACTTAAGAAAAGCTATGCTTGATTGGACAAGTGGCACAGCTAGTCCAGGACGCTGTTCACACAGTGGCAAACCTGCTGCAAGATAGCAATAGATGAATTAGCATTTCATTGCCATCTTCACTTGGATATACATGATTTTCCCATGACGGTTGTATATTCAATCGTGCCCTCGAAAAAGTTGTTTATTTCGGACTTGTTCAGACTTGCAAATGAGGTGCCGCTACATTTAGAAGAAAAAGAAAACAGTTTTATTTGAAGGAAATGGAAAACTTGGGCAGAATTTTCTTGCAGCAGACGAACTGTTCCATTGTTCAGTGTTGTACATACTGTCCCAGAAAATCTTTTGCTGTAGTGATTGTTATGGTTAAAGGACAAAAGAATGCAGTCCACCATTTACTGCTGTTAACTAGCAGCTTTGGTAAGAGTACTGAAGAAAGAATTCAGTGGTCCCCAGTAGTTACATTTCCTAATCCAAACTTGGTGTGAAGCAGAAGCAAACACAGCTGTCAGTCTCAGGGAGACACTGGAACACATTCTGGAGCAGCAACAATTTGTCTCAAAAACTTGGGTTGCAGAATTTCTAGTTGCATCACTCCAGACTTGAATCCCATAAAATAACTGAGCTAAGCCTTAAAAACTTACACGCATATAATTATGACCTTTTATGGAAATGAAGTCTATTAATCCTGAATGCTTTGAAAAGACTTTTCTATAGCTTACTCCTTTTCACCTAGCCACATTTCTCATGTTTGAGAAACCGAGACCAAGTACTTCAAAACCTTTAAGAAGTGCACTTCTGTGCCTATGTAGACAGAAATATATCCAACAACTCCCAGTATGTCCAAATTGCGTATTTTGGGAATTGTAGGAGGTTTTTCTGTCTAACATATATGGGATTATGCCCAAACTTGTTTGATTGTGTATCCAAAACTCATGTATGGGGTCTATGTTGCTCAAGAACAATACAGACCCTGTAGGTCTTCTTTCTGACTATTTAGAAAATGCCTTCCTCAGTTTTATTAAACTCACTTGAATGTGAGACGCAAATACAGCATCATTTAGTAATAGTTGATGTGGTCTGTTTAAGGCATGTGATAAACTTGAGATTTTAAATTCTGGGGATGGCACAGAATTCATAAGGAGTTCATCAGTGGGACACAGCATCTTTAGCCAAGTAGTTATTATGTAGACTTTGAATTTTAAAAAAGAGCCTTTCAGATATACTTGAAGAGAGTCTCACATGAGTTGATTGACTGGGTTCGCACAACATGCTGTGGCTTCATGTGTTGTATGAATCCCAAGTGCCAACCCCACAGGGTGACTTCTTTGTGGCTACAAACCCACCGCAGCAAGCCATGGCTTGTGGTAGGGTTTTGTAGCTAACTGGGCTGTCTGAACCCTGATGACAGTAGCCTAGGTCAAGCCCAGAAGCCTACAAGGCCAACTGACCAGAGAATTTGTATTTATCAACTTTAGCACCATAACAATAAGCTCCCAGGCCTGGCCAGGTTTTCATGTTTGTTAAGCTCTAGATGAGGAGGGAGGACTTCATATCCTGGGCCAGCCAGTGTGAGATAAGAATGAAATCTGGAATTCTTACAGAGAAAAGACCAGGCTTTTCCCTTAAAGGCATTAGGCAAAACAACCCTGCAGATCTATTGTCCTGAGACACCTGAGAATTACCCCATCAGTAGCAACTAACAAATTGGGCCAAAGACAGCAATAGGTAAGGTCATCAAGAAGCAATCAAACACCCGTCCTACAATTACTGTCAGTCTATGAAACTCATCCTTCCCACAGTGACAAGTACAGGGAGACAGAATGTAAAGATCAGGGACTCAGAAAATAAATCTAGGTGCACAAGGTCTCAATATAACACAGGCCTGGTACTCCAGCTTGAGGACACCTTGCGCCCTTCCTGCCCACAGGAGGGACCCTGTGAAAGTCTACCCTGCAGGACAGGTAATGGACTCCCTTTCTCTCTCCCCCCCCCCCCCATTAGCTTTTCTCTCTTTTAGGTCAGAAGCTCTTTATCTCTTCAGAAAAAAGAGAGTAAGATTGGGCTGTAACAGGACTATTTGCTGCCTACACTACATCTGGTTAAAAGCTTGTGCCTGCTCCATCTTTTCTGCTGAATAAATTTTCCCGAGTGTTGTGTTTCTCCGTGAATGCAAAAGCGCAGTGCGTTCTCTTTATGGCAGCACACGTTAAACCCAGGCAAAAGATCCCAACCTTTTGAGGCAGTCTGGCAGGGAAGAACCTCCTTTCCAGCCATATTGCTCCCCAAGATTACCTCCCCAAAACTACTCCGGCCTTATGGCTCCGATGCAGCACTGTGGGCGGCTGTCACTGCCGCAGCTGCAGGCATGCACTGCCTCCCCAGCAAATGCTTGAGGCCAGACAAGGCAGTGGCACCTGCCGGCCGGTGTCCATGGACGTCGGCTTGTCTGCCTGCATCATGCACCACTGCAGTGGCTTCAGCAGAAGGGACGAGCCGCATTCTTTGGGGTATCCCCCAGAGGAGGGCTAGTAGAATATGACCTGTATCCCAGCATCCATGCCTGCTCCCCCTTGCCCCTGGCAGCACCCATCGCTGCAGCTTATGCACGAATAGCCTGAAACGAAGGGCGTCCCCCACTTCTGCCCTTTCCCAATATCAGGTGGCGGCGGGAGGGGGGGGAGAAATGTCAGGGCTCTTTGCAGGAGGAACAAGGGAGGAGAGCGAGTGGCTCCGGAGCTGTAGTGCCCCTGTTCATCCCTTGGGCACATCATGAGCCCCGGGGCAAACAACCCACACCACAATGCTTTCTAAGTAATTATTTTAATTATTAGATTTATATCCACCTTTTTTCTTTTCAAGAACTCAAAAGTAGCTCACATAATTCTCCTGCTCTCACGTCATTTCCGCACAACAGCTCTGTGAAGTAGGTTGGGCTGAGAGTCTGGACCGGCCCAAAATCTCCCCGTTGGCTCCATGGCTGAGTCGGGACTCAAACCCCGATCACCTGTGTCCCAAACCTGTGCTCTGAACCACGACACCACGCTACTTGCTCATCTGCCACTCTCTTGTATTTTCTCTTGGATGAAAAATGTAATAAAGTGATCATGAGCTCGGTGCCTCCTATTCTAAACTCCTGGAGAAGAGCCAAATGGATAACTGTGGTCGAAAGTGGCTGAATCCGAAGTTACTTTCCTCCCATCTCCCTCCCACAAGCACCAAACCTGTAAAATTGGGGGGCTGGCAGCCCAAAAGTAAGTGGGGCAGTTCATCTGGTTTACAGGCCCTTTAAAGACAACACGGCAAACTTTTTGGTCTGTAAAAAGAAACCGGAGCGGGCAGAGATGAGAAAATATACAGGCCTGGTATGCACACGGGATTCAGCTGTGAATTTGGGTTGTGGGGGGAGGAGTTGCATCGACTGAGTCTTCCAGTAGGGGGCGCGCGAGGTCTCGCTGCAGCTCAGCCCTTGAATCCCCGAGGAAGAGGAGGAAGCCCGGAGGGAAAGGCGGGGACCTGCTGGAGCAGCAAAGGCTGCAGCCGCCCGTGGCCTGCCTTCCCGCCGGCCGCCCCAGGGATTGCAGGGGCAGACTGCACCCCGCCCGGTGGAGCCGCCGAGCGAAGAGCGAGTCCGCCAGCCGGGAGTCACACCGGCCTCCTCGTCATTTCCGGTATGATCCTTGTGGCAAGAGCGCTGCGTGGCTCCCCGGCGCCGTGGGTGGTGCAGGGCTGTCCTTACGGCTGCGCTCCGACGCCTGCATGCTTCCCGGAGACGGAGGCTTTCTTCCGAGTGGACGTACAGGATCCCACTCCCAGTTACCCCGTCTGCGTCCCCCACCAGCCGTGTGGGGGTGCCAGCACCGGGCGGGGGTTGCACCGTCGTTGCAAGCGGCCCCCGGGCTCGCTGGCCCGCAGCGGCCCGCAGCCCGCCCTCCCGCACTTCGGTGCCCCCTGCAGCCGAAGCGCCCCGCGCTGCGCTCAGCAATGGCGATCTGAGGGTCGCGCTCGCCCGCCGCCTCCCTCTCCGCGTCTGATCCCATCCTCCATCCAGGATGATGCTGTGTTGTGTCCGCTCCAGGCATCCCGGGCTTAGGGCGCCCCATGAACGAATGCCTCCAAAATACCCGTAACATCCCTGCTCAGCTCTTGGCAGCCTTAAAATTAAGTACTACAGTTCCCAGCATTCCTCAGCCAGCCATGTTGACGAAGCAGCCCCTCGTCTGTTGTTGCTGTGTGCCGTCTTTCGACCCCCACCCTGGGGGTGAATCCCCTCTGAAATGCCCGTCCATGGCAGCCCTTGGAAACGTAAAAGATATTAGGGGTGGCCTGCTTTACGGGGTTGTTTTACGCCTCTGTTGCCCTCTTTTTCATCTGCAGTATGGAACTAATAAGATGGCTTTAATCTATGTCCACCCCCAACCCCACCCCGGGACAGGGCGTATCTTTAGGGAAATATTTTGACCATCTGAAAATAGCAAAGCAGCCCTGGAGAAGATGGGAGGGTCTGTTTCTCTGCTTTTCCTTGGGGTGGGAAGGAAAGGAGGGGAGGGGGAGGATTCCTGGGGAGGTGGCTGTGCAAACACAGGAGCCGGCCTTGCAGCGCTTTAACAGTGTCATCTTTATGTTTGCAACTAAGCCCCCCTCTATTCAAATGTGTTTACTCTCAGGTTGGATGCATGGGATTCAGGCAGCTCCGTGCCAGGGTCCCAGGCAGGATTTCCCGCAGCCCTAGTTGGAGATCTTGTGCTCTTGAGATGCAGCTCTTCCTGTTAAACTCCTTCCCCTTTTGCAGCATCCAAACTGGCATAAGTGGAGCCTTTCTTCTGTTCGGCGTAGCTGCCATGATCATTTTTATATGGGCATAGCAGGCAAACATTCAACAGATGTAAGATTTCCCATAATGGAAACACAGTGTTGGAAGACCCATTCCCCCTTACAAAAAATAAAATAATAAAATAAAATAAAATAAAATGGTATGAAGATTAGGAAATGAAGGGTTATCCTGCCACTTCAAGGGAATGTGAAGGATGTGAAGGATTAAATTAAATGCTTTAGCTATTTATTTATTTAGTTAATTATTTAAATTAATTTAGTATTTATTTAAATATGTATGTATTTGCTTACATCTATAGAACTATAATTTATTAGCCCTGTTTCTGCAACAGACCTAAGGTAGCTTACATAATCATAGCTTATAAGCCGCCGAGGAAGGCCTCGGCAATTATAGGCGGTCTATAAATATACTGTGTTTCCCCAAAAATAAGACACTGTTTTTTTTTTTTTTTTTTTTGGCTCACAAAAACACACTAGGTCTTATTTTTGCGATAGGTCTTTTTTTCGGGGAAACACGGTATGTAAATAAATAAGTACCTCCTCTTCTCCATTATATCCTCCTAATAACTCTGTGAGGTAAATTAGGCTCTCTTTGATTTTAGCATATTGGCTAAGAGACTGAAAGGTAAGCCAGGAAGCCCTAGTTCAAATTTCAACTCCATCATCACCTGACTAGGTGACTGTCAACACTCCGCCCTAGTTCCCCCTCCCATCTGCAAAATGCGTATATTAATGCCACCCTACCTGGGTAGAGCTCAGATCTCAGTGCTGCACGGACATGGAAAACAGCCTTAGAAATGGCCTCTAACTCCCATAATTTCCGTGAAGGAAATTAGGAAGGTAGGTACTCGGAGGAGGGCTTTCTCAGCGGTGGCGCCCAATCTATGGAATGGGCTGCCCAGAGAGGTCCGCCTGGCGCCATCATTATTTGTTTTTCGGCGCCAGGCGAAGACCTTTTTATTCAAACGTCATTTTAATTGCTAATATTATTTGCTTAATTCTTCGGCCAGGGTGACTTATTTTATAATGTTAATGTGTTTTATATTTTTAGTGTTTTATATTTTAACTGATGTTTTGTAAGCTGCCCCGAGGCTTCGGCAAATGGGGCAGCACAGAAATTTTTTAATAAATAAATAAATAAATAAAATAAACTCTGAATATTGGCTGTGCCAGTTGGATTTGATGGGAGTTGAATTTTAAAGCCTCCGTTGGATCTGCCTTGGGGAGATTTCAACCAGGGTGTTCACAGCTTAGCCTCTTAGCTAAGCCACTCTGTCCTCAACCTCAGTGAGGTACACAGATTGAAGAGACTGTGAGTGGATTTCCTGGTGATCTTTCCAAACTATCTATTCATCTCTCTTTCTCCCGTTTCTGCTGTTTTCAAGGTTCCATGATGTCTCATTCAGGAAGAAACTTCCTTTTAATGCAGGAATATCTAGAAGGAACAGCATTTAAATACTTGAAAAATAGCATATAATAGGGCATTTTGGTTCTTTTTTCACTTTTTCCCCCCAATTCTATTAGTTACTTAAATATTGGTAATCATATGGGTATTCAGCTTAGAGTGATCTAATCAGGATGTTTTCATACTCTAGAGACTTAAGAGGATAAAAAAGGGACACAAATTCAATAGCCCAGAAGAAGGGATGAAGGGCCAAAAATTCGAAAGCACAGAAGATGGCCCCACTACAGAAGGAAAAGCCACGGGTGCAGTTATGCCCGAGAGACCAGGACAGAAAGAGACCAAAGAGGGCAAAGGAGAGCCATCCAAGGCGATGGAATGGTGCTGGGAATCCCAGTGGCAGGAGGTCCTGAAGATGCTGCCTTCCCCTCACTCCGCGTGCAGATATCCTCAGCTGCCAGAGAGCAGCCCGTGGGACAACACCAAGGCCTTCCTGGCCTCCTTTGAGCAGGTGGCCATGGCCTGCCAGTGGCCTCGAGAGGAGTGGGCGGCCCGGCTCCTGCCGGCACTGAGCGGGGAAGCCGAGCAGGCCTTTCAAAGCCTGGAGGCCGGAGATCAGGAGGACTACGGGAAGGTGAAGGCGGCCATCTTGCGAGGGGAGGCCCTGAGAAGGGAGGTGCAGCGCCAGCTCTTCCGGCAGTTCTGCTGCCAGGAGGTGGAGGACCCCCGGCGGCTGCACCGGCAGCTCCAGGAGCTGTGCCGGCAGTGGCTGAAGCCGGAGCGGCACAGCAAGGAGCAGATCCTGGAGCTGCTGATCCTGGAGCAGTTCCTGGCCAGCCTGCCGCCCGACCTCCAGGGCTGGATCCGAGCGGGAGGGCCAGACTCCTGTTCCCAGGCGGTGGCCCTGGTGGAGGACTTCCTGATGGGCCAGCAGGAGGCTGAGACGGAGAAGTGGCAGGTGAGCTTTTTGTACTGAATTCCCAGAGAATATGGGTGAGGCGATTGGAATAATTTTTATTTATTTATTTATTTTCTGATTTATATCCTGCCTTTTTCCTACAAAGGGCTCAAGGCAGCTCACATCATTCCCCTCCTCCATCTTATCCCCACAACCACCCTGTGAGGTAGGTTGGGCTGAGAGTCTGTGACTGGCCCAGAGTCACCCAGTTGGCTCCATGGCTGAGCGGGGACTAGAACCCAGATCGTCTGAGTCCCAGTCCCATGCTCTTAACCACTGCACCACACTGGCTCTCTTGACCTATAATCTTGACCTATTTGGTTAAAATTCATAAACTTGATTGCACATTGCAAAGGCTGAATCCTTTTGGACCAGCTGAACATCATTTCCAAATGAGAGCCCCTTGTAGCATTTCTACACACCAGACCTACCTTGATATCACTATCCTTTAATTAAACTATCTTATTCAATTTAGTTTTATCCTGGCTTTGTGCAAAACATTTCAGGGACGTAAATACTATTTACCATACAACGTAGACTTGCAGGTTGGGTTCAGACAATACTCCAGGCCATGATGGTTTTTTTACCATTGTTAACTCAGTATGTCGCTCAAACCAAATTGTGGTAGTTCTCCATGATACGTTTGGCTTTTAGAAACTGCAATAAGCAGCAGTGGCCTGTTCCATGGTTTCTCTATACCCCCATGGCTTGTCATGTTTGAATGTAGGGTAGTTGTTTCCATGGCCCTGGTATGCAACTGCTACAGAGTTCCTTGGAAAGAGTGGCAACTGCAGAAGCCACTCCAGCCATCCAGCATCTATGGGAGACCATTGAGGAGGGAGCAGGCAACACAGGCAGGGAATGAATTTCCGTTGTATTGGCTGATAGGAGACATGCACACAGTGGGAGGACCGAGCAGAGAGGATGGAAATCACTGCTTGGTCATCTGTTGGGTGGATCATGGGAAAAAGGTGTGAACTGTGGTGACCACATAGCTCACTCGTTGGGTGAACCCCGCCATTGTGTCCTGCTGTAAGTGTTCACAAGTTATGACCACTTGTACAGATGTAGCTACTTCAGGCCCTTCTGTGAAAGCTGTAGTGGAGACTGCGGAAAGCCCAAATGAAAACGGGTTCTGGTGAGGACAACTCACTCTTATCTCTGATCAGTCTTTAGAAATTGGACCAGGTGGCACTCGGGTCTGTGTAATGAGCTGCACCAAGGAGCCTGGGCACCTGGATAAAAGGCCGAGCGGCACACCGAGGAACTTGCTGGAAACAGCACCTGGCTGGGTTTCTGCACCACAGACCTTGCTCGTGGGCCCTTGTCTTCATTGCCTTGGCTTGACCTCTGTGGATTAAGCTCTGGACCTCTGCAGATTACTGGACCAACTCGGCTTTGGACTAGACCCTGACTCTCTTTCTGCTTCGAAAGTGCCAACCCACTAAATTGCAAGTGGCTGTGGCTGGCGTGCATCTATCTATCTATCTATCTATCTATCTATCTATCTATCTATCTATCTATCTCCTGCCTTTTTCCTGCAGAGGCTCAAGGCAGCTTACATCATTCTCCTCCTCCATCTTATCCCCACAACAACAACAGCCCTGTGAGGTGGGTTGGGCTGAGAGTCTGTGACTGGCCCCAAGTCACCCAGTTGGCCCCATGGCCGAGCGGGGACTGGAACCCAGATCGTCTGAGTCCCAGGCCCACGCTCTTAACCACTGCACCACACTGGCTCTCCAAAGCTCTTACAAAGTTATTTATTCTGGGAACTAGTGGGCTAAGTCCCCAACTTTATTCTGTCTGTTTGAAATCAGCAATAAAGCAGGAGAGAAACCAAATTCCCTCTTGATTGCAACTCCTTCAGCTCTGCCCTTTCTAGGTTTGATTGGCTCCTCCCTGTTTACTTTTAGGCACATCCTTAAAAATTTTTGCTGTCCTTGTTCCATGTAGCACTTGATTTATTTCAAAGGTAATTCTGCTCTCTGTTTTAAATACGATTTTTCTCCTGCTTTTCTTTATTACAATAGTTGTTCATTATGATGTGAATATTTTAATTTACATGCGGCCCAAGAGGATCCTTTTTGGGTTGAAAGAAGGCACAAAACATAATATGATAGATAACTTAGGTATTAAATATAGTCACCCAAAGTATGCAGAGAGGTGCAGCTTCTTCTAAACTCTTCCTTCCGTCCTTCACTGAGTGCTAGTGGGTTTATAACAGTCATGCATTGTAATCGCTGCTCAGACAGTTGGTTCACTTCAAATTGGGGAGGGAACCTCCAGTCCGTAGGTCTAAACTGTTCTGAGGAGGGGCCCAATCTGACCTGTCAAGAGTTGGCCAACTTTCATGATCCGTTCCCTTCCTCAAGCCCTGCTTCTGGTCCCAGAAGAGGAAACTCCTTTGGAATTCTCCCTCCCAGAGGAAAGTCACAAAACTGAGTGGGAGAACTCGTGGAAGACAGAAAGAAGATTCAAGATGATGTTGAAATTCATTAGGGACAAATGCCAAGTTCTGCACCTAGGAAAAAGAAACCAGATGCATCAGTACAAGATGGAGAATACTTGGCTCAACAAAACTGCAAGTGAGAAGGATCTTGGAACTGTTTGTGTCTGATTGCAAGCTGAATATGAGTCAGCAATGTGGCGTGGCTGCAAAAAGGGCAAATGCTATTTTAGGCTGCATTAATAGAAGGATCCTTCCAAATCATGTGAAGCACTAGTTCCCCTTTACTCAGCACTGGTTAGGTGTCATCTGGACTCCTGTGTCCAGTTCTGGGCACCACGGTTGAAGAAAGACACAGACAAGCTGGAAAGGGGTCAGAGGAGGGCAACAAGGATAATTTGGGGACTGGAAACAAAGCCCTGAGGGGAGAGATTGAAAGAAGTGGGCATGTTTAGCCTCCAGAAGGGAAGACTGAGGAGAGAGATGATGGCACTCTACACGTACTCGCAAGGCTGTCACAAAGAGGAAGGACAAGATCTATTGTCAGTCATCCCAGAGTGCAGGACGTGGAACATTAGCCGGGTTCTGGCTAGATCTCTGGGAAAATCTCTGATTGTTAGAGCATTACAACAAGGGAGCCAGTGACCGAGGGAGCTTGTGGGTTCCCCCCCTCTGGAGGCATTCAAGGTGCAACTGGACAGCCATCCATCAGGGAGGGTTTAACCGTGAGTCCTGCACTGAGCAGGGGGCCGGACTGGATGGCCTTCTGGCCCCTTCCAACTCTACCATTTTATGATGCTATGATTCTTTATCTGTGGTCCAGAAGTAGGAATATTTCTGTCCAAGCTTGCAGGGGCCAGCTAAGTCCCTTCTCCCACTGCCTGCACTGAGTTGCTTTCTGTGCTGAGAGAGGTACAGACAGAAAAAGTGGTTGAGATGGCACCTGAAAGTGTCCCAGTAAGGCAGGGTCACACCCCGTTGAGGGACCTAGCCTGGCAGGCTGGAGGACGAGGGGCAGTCTGGTCCCAGGACCAAATCCAGTGGACCTCTGGATAAACGAACTAACAAATTATGTTTCTCTGCTTCCTGCATAGAACCTGGTGTGCGAGAGATGTGTGGCTTTCGGGTGAGTTGGCTAATTACTTGCAAGGAGGGGGAATGTTGGAGTCAGGAGAAAGATATGCTCTGATAGCTACCCAGCTGGCTGGTTTCCTGTAAGCAAGCACTGAGGAATATGCTCATCTTGAAGGAAAAGGGTGAAAGTTGAAAGAGTGGCCAGACTCTCAAATAGGCACAAGGCCCCAGCCAGAGGTGGAAACTGGTTCTTGCAAACACGACTTTGTGTTCTCAGATACGGAGTCCTGGAAAATGGTATTGAAATACGTTGGGCCGTTGGGGAAATTTTTGCCTTCTATTTGTTTTACCAAATGTTTATGCATGGGCTTTTGGGAAGCTGTGGGTTTTGAGAGTGTTTTTGGGATGTGTTGCCTTAACACTCTTCAGCACTTAACGCTCTTTCTCAGTGGTTGTCTTTCTTCCTATCTGTAGGGACTGGTGAGCCGCAGAGAAGCTGGCCTGGGGCTGAAGAGGTTCAAGGGGAATCCCGCCCCACTAGATCCACAGACTGTACTCCAGCAAGTTCTGCAGGAGGAGGAGGGGCATGTCAGTTCTACGGGTGAGGCTCCCTTCTGCTCACATCCAGTAAGGGAGCAAGTCTCTGCATGATTAGATGGAAAGAAATCCTACAGCTTCCAGCATTCCCCTGCCAGGATAGGAGCTGTGGGATGCTGGGAGTTGCATGCTGGGAGCTGTAGGGCATCCCCCTGTCTAAACTTGCATGGGATTGCACCCTAAGTCCAGTAAAGCTTAGCTGAAAGAGCTTATCACTTGTAGGACTGAAGAGAGTTTACAGGTAAACGGGAGTCGTTCATCAAATATCTATATCTGGAATGAAGCATGACATACATTAGGTTTACTTCCTTCCCTAGTATTTTCAAAGAAATGTAAGACAAATGCTGGGAAGACATGCCAGTAATGTCTCCTTTCCCAGAATCCCCTTGCCTTTCTTTCCTTTGTCTCCAGCCGCCACCATCTCCTCCTCTTCCTTTCTGTTCCTTCAGCCCCAGAGGAGATTCAGAAGTATTGGAAGCTGCCTCTTACTGATTTAGTCTCCCAACTAAGCTCTCTAAACTGCGAGGCCTCACCCCAACCTACAGTTGCGCATCCCATCAAAGCTTTGTGCATTGTGACATGAGCTTGGTTTGGCTGAACTGCAAATCATCTTCAGAAGATGGCTCCAAGTTCTATTATTATGTGAGAAGGAGTAACCGTTCCTTTTCTCCACTTTCATTAAATCTTCAAAATATCACATTCTCAGTCCATCAATATCTAACATTACTATTATAACTTACTTCAGCGGAATGTTCGTATTAAGCATTTCTAGTTTGAAAGTATCTTTTAGTCTAGCTTTTCTGTATTGAACTAAATAGGGTCTTTTCAGCAGCTAAGGACACCCTTAGGAATTGTTCCAATGTTATGCTGCATCTTGAATTCCATGTTTCCTCTGTCAGGGAGGGGGAATTCAGCCCACCACTCGGTTGTGCTCACTCTTGTTGAAAGACACCATTAAATGCAAACCAGTTTTCCGCAATTCCCTGTACTTCCTGCACACTTCACCGTTTTTTGGATGAGCAAATTGCAGAAGGCAGCATTGGATTCCTTCACCTAACGAATTTATTATTATAATTATATAACAATAATATATAGAGTATATATAATGGAATTATAAATTATAATAAAATATAATTATTATATAATAGATAATATATAAAATTATATAACTATATAATCAAATATAAAATATAACATTATATATTAATAATGTAATTTCTGCACCTCCCCGCAATCAAAGTTCTATTGGCAGGTGACACAATCCATAAAAACAAAGGATAAAAATGAGGTAAAATAGCAGAAAAAACATTACAAAGTTTAAAACAGCTAAAAACAGGTTATAAAAACAAGCAATACAAAGAATAATAAATCAGGTGACCAGCACCTGGTGATTCTCCTCAATCCTCTGGGTGGCTGAGTAGGTCCTTAAATGAGGGCCGTCTTAACCCAGCCCCTGTGGCCAAAAAGATGGCAGATTCAGATCAGCACCAGCTGGGCCGCAGTGGGGAGGCTATTCTGTAGATGGAGGGGGCACCACTAAGAAAGAAAGTTTCTAGCACTTCTTAGCAATTAATATTGCTAAATATTTAATATTAATATTACTAAAAGGTATCTGATGTACTTGGTTTTCTATAATTTTAAAAAGAAGTAGCAGAGAGGGGGAAAGCTCTGCAAGTAAAATGAAGAAAAAGGAAATGACAGACATCTTGAAAAGAGCTTACCAGTGCATGATAAACAAAACCAAAGAAAAACCTCTCTCTCCCCTTCTCCCTCTCTCTCAATCCAAAGGGGACAAGATGGGAAGGAAGGACCAGATGGATAATTCCCAGTGTTTCAGAATCGAGCCAACAGACACCCCCAGAGCAACCCGACAAATCAGGCACGCTCATGTGACAATGGCGTCTGAAATGCAGGAGGAAGGAAGCGAGTCCGCAGAGGAGCAAGGAAGACATCTGTTGGAGCAAGAGAATAAATGTAAGAATCACCAAGATGACCTTACGGGAGCAATTGGCCAGCCTTCCATGGGGCAAACAAGAGATCACGTGCCCGTGTTTTCCAAGTATGGTAGACAATATCACTACAGGGCGGAACTAGATATGATGCCTGCCAGCGAGGTTTATAATGACTATCCCACATCAGAGAAAGCCCTCCAGCAAAATTCATGTTCCGGTAAATATCAGAAAACCATACCACGAGAGAGTAAACCTGAATTCTCTGAGCATCGGAAAGTGGGAAGCTTCAACCAAAATCAAAATAACCACACAGAAGAGACGCCTCATAACTCTCCTGAATATGGGGACAGCTTTAGCGATGCAAAGTCATTAAAGAGAAATCAAGGAATTCAAGGTGAAGGGAAACTCTATAAATGTACTTATTGTGACAAATGCTTCAGCAAGAGCAAACATCTGCTGAATCATCAGCAATGCGAATGTCCTGAATCTGGGGAAATTTTCACTTTTAGACAAGCATTAGTGAGAAATCAGGAAACTTACTGTGGGGTGGAGCCTTATGTATGTTCTCAGTGTGGCAAATGCTTTGCCCAGAAAGGAAGCTTGATGTGCCACCTGCGAATCCACACTGGGGAGAAACCGTACAAATGTTCTTACTGTGGGAAAAGCTTCAGGCAGACCGGGGCCTTGCTGGGTCATCAGAGAATCCATACTGGAGAGAAACCATACAAATGTTCTCAGTGTGGAAAAAGCTTCAGCTATAAAGGAAACCTGATATGTCATCAGAGAATCCACACTGGTGTGAAGCCATATAAATGTTCTCAGTGTGGGAAATGCTTCAGCCAGAGTGGACACTTGATGAGTCATCTGAGAATCCATAATGGAGAGAAGCCGTACCGATGTCCTCTGTGTGAGAAAAGCTTCAGCCAGAGAGGCGCTCTGGTGAATCATCAGAAAGTTCATCTTGCGAAGTAACCCAACCAATGTTTTCCGTGTGGAAAACTCTCCTTGAAAATACAAGTCATGGAGATTTGTGGAGACAAAACATAATTTGTGGTAACTATGAAAATCTTTGTTGTGTGAAAGTGTTCAGTCAGAGAGAATTCGTGCAGAGGAGGAACCATTCAGATGGTTAGAACAGGGGTCAGCAGAAGGTTGACCTCAACATATTCTAGACTTCAGCTACCAGAATTCCTGACCATTGGCCTTGTTGGTACAGGCTTCTGAGAACTGATTTTCCAGACTTCTGGGGGTATCCCTTCTGACCACCCTGACATATTGTGTGGAAGAAATTTCTCATCTTCTCATAGATTGGTTTATGGGATGCCTGAGAACTCACACAGGAAAAGACTTTATGGATCCCTTTTGGGAAGTTTTCTTCTGAAAGAAGCTATGATGATGCTTCTGAGACAGTGCCACTGAATATCATATAAGGAGTGTGGGGGAAACCATGTCTTATTGTATGTAAGGAACTACAGCTATGAATTAAATCAGACAGAAGTTTCTAATGGGGAGATGATTTGATTGAAGATCAGAGTAGCTGGACAAACTTAAATTCTGGAACCACTACATTCTTGATTTTGGGATTGCTTCCAATAAACAGTGTTGCCATTTTTACACTAAAGGTAGTGATGATCAGTGTATAGAAAACAAGAAAATCCTGTCTCCAGACAAACAGGCTTCCTATCTGTTAGCTTATTTCTTCATTTCCCAATCAAGAGCCACTGTTTGGATGGCATGATCATAGTCAGAGAAAAGGATAGGGGAAATTACTTGCTGTTTGGTACTGTTCCACACAGAAGACCATCTTCTGTATAGCTTGAAGCGCCTGATCCTGCCTAATCTTGGAAGCTAAGCAGAGTCAGGCCTGGTTGAAATCTGGATGGGTAACTTGAATGTTGAGAGCAGAGAGCTTCAGTTATGGTTGTTATAGAAAAGTTACTAATAATCTTCATTTGAAAACAGGATCTGTTTGTTAGAACTTCAAAATGACCTCCGCAGCTGCCTCTCCACTTACCAAGAGAGAAGCATTTTGTTTTGGAATGGAGAGACTTCAGAAATTGGAGAAGTGAAATACTTTTAATGCCTTGTTCTTAATAAAAGTTGTATGTATTCTGCTGGTGACTTGAAACAAAAAATACGAACATTTGGCTCTGGAGTTCTTAATCTAAGCTGTTAGATTTTAACTTACCATGGAGGTCGCAGTGGTTGGCATGTCTCAGTGGCCCAGCTTGCACAATCACAGCAGGGTGTTGGATGATTTGCACAATTACTTCCATCAGTTGCGGTTCTTGTGTCTCCTGAACCCATGAGGGTAGCTCGGTTGGGTGGTTAAGAACACACTCAGAACCCTTTGTAGCATTGTGGGGTGATTTCGTAACCACCGAACAGGCAGCCCTCACTGGATTTGGGTGACACAAAACGCTATTGGCCATCTGGTGCCTGACAGGGTTAGAGTTCCAGAGAGGGAGTCAAAACACTGAGGATTTGGACTGAATAGACTCCACATTGGCTTCAGTGACCTGGCAGGGAAAAGGAAGTTGTTGTGTATATGCTAAGAACAAAAGCTTAAGCCTGGCGCAGGAGCACATGGACGGACCGTGCCATCCCTCAGCAGAGAGGCTGTAAAGAGACAGCTCCAAACAACGGCTGAGCTACAGCAGGCCACAGGTCAGCTGCCAGAGCAGCCACATGGAGAGTCAGAGATGATTTCGCTGGCACCTGTACCATAGTTGGTGCATCAACTGAAGCTGGTGGAAGGCCTTCCAAATTGCAGCTTTGGCTTGCGAATCCAATAACGGAGATGGATCCCAAGCACTCTAAGGCGCAAACTAGATCATTCCATGGCGTGAAACCCCCTCTAGAAATGGCAATGAGCCTGCCTCCTGCACCAAGGAACCATGCGCCCACGGGGCCTCCATCTTGCCAACTTCGGCTTCTGTTTACTGGTCCTTGTCTTCCGAGTCTGATCTCAGACTTGCTCCCGATTCAGAGGTCCTGGGGAGACAGAGCAGTGTGTCATCAGCATCCTGATGGCACTTTGCTCCCAGTCCCCTGGGACCACAGAGAGGATAAACAGCAAGCCTGTGACAGCCCGCCACTCAATTGTGAAGGAGCCACGGACAAACTGAAATCCGTGCAGGGAGGACTGATCCGCGGCAGCCCAGTGCCTCCAAGGCCAACCCCGCGGAGCCCGGCTAGACGGACCCCATGGCCCGTGGTGCCAAAGCCAGCGAGACACTGAGCGGAATGAACAGGGTGGCACTTCAGCCCCACAGCCAGGCTGAAACGGCTCTGCAATCAGCCCTCCCGAGGAATGCTTGCGGGTTCCTTCCCCGCGAAGGGGGCCTCTGCAGCTGGGCGTTCCTGCCCGAGTCCCGCCGAAAGGGGGGCACGCGGTGCCACGTCCCGGGAAGCGCACGCACCCCGGGGGGGCCCTCGCGCTCCTGGAGGAGCTGCCGCGGCCGCGCGGTCCAGCAGGGGGAGTCCTGCGGGGCGCCGCGGCTCCGTTCGCCCAGCCCGTCAACCACAAAGGAGGCCGCGCGGGCGGAGCGAGCCGAGCGGGAGGGGCGGCGCCGCGCCGGCGGGGAGTCGCTGCAGCCGCGCCGTCCAGCAGGGAGGTGTCCCGGCGGCGCCCCGCGATTGCAGCCGAGCCCCCGCCCCCCGGACGGAGTCCCGCGCAGCCTTCCAGGCCGGGCCGGGGCGGGCGGCAGAGGGCGGGAGCGCGCCCGCCGGCCACGGGTCGCACCGGCCTCCTCGGCGCTTCCGGTACGGTTCGGGGGCTCGTCGGGCTCTGGGGTCGCTGGGCGAGGGCGCTGCGGGTTTGCCCGAGGAGGGGGGCGCAAGGGGCAAGGCTGCATGCACGCGGGCTCGGCGGAAAGGCTGACCTCTGAGTAGGCACACCTGGGATTTCTCCTTAAGTAGTAGCGGCGGCGTAGGGTGACGCGTCGTCCCAGGCACTTTGCCTGCGCCTCGCTGCAGCAGGGCGCTCTTAATACTGCCCTGAAGGGCAAGCGTCCCTCCGTTGTTCTCGGCGGTGCATGCCATCGCCTTTCCAGTCTGTAATATGGTGGAAATAATAGGAGTTAGGAGCTGTTGCAAGCCTCCCCCCTCCCCGCGATCCTCCGTGATATGGGGCGACGATACTGGCTCCGCTTATTGCCCCCTCCGCCCCGCCGTTCAGAGAGGATTGTAGGAAGAATTTTTTTGCAAGGCGCTCAGGAAGAGAACATACGTGACACCACTTAAAGCAACGCGAGCCTCAGAGACGAAGCGTCTTTTCCTTGGGGTTGCGATGCAAATGCCAGAGAAGGAGCCCTCCGAGCTTATTTAGCAGAAAACCCTGGGACGGTGGGGCTTGGAAGCCCTACGGCGCAATCCTGTTGTGCGCAGCGCGGTGCGCATGTCCCGGGCTGCAGCCGGACCGAGCGGCGCGGTGCGTGTTTGCTCAGGAGAAAGTGCAGTGCCGTCAGTGGGACGCGAAGATCTGTCCGATTTGAACTCATCAAGAGTCGTAGTTTTGCATGGGAAGCTCATTCCGGGTGGGGAATTTTTGTGCAAAGGCATCCAGAGATATTTTGTGTGCTTTTTTCAATTGTGTGCATTGTGTACACATTTTTATGTATCTTTAAACTGTCTGGAAAACGTGCACACTAATATGGGTTTGGCAGTCCTGCGTTTAGAATAATATGAAGGAGCAGACGTCCTGCTGCGGAATTCATGTGGAAAACTAATACCAAGAGAACTGAACTTGTCCGCACAGGACCGTGGACACTAAGGTTTTGTTTTAAGGAAGAGCTTATTTATTTTATTTGTATTCTGCCTTTTCTTGGAAAGATCCAGAGGAGGTCTCCAGAATCCTCTGAACGCTCTCCATTTTATTCTCATGACAATCCTGTGAGGTAGGTTAGGCTAAGAGTTAGTGATTGGCCTGAAGTCACACAGTAAGTTTCATAGCAGGCTAGGGACTAGAACCTGGACTTCTCAAGTCTAGTCCAGTGCTCTAACCATTACACCATATGGCTCTCTCCACAGGGAACATAAACAGAATGTAACAGCAGTTATTATAAATTAATAACTTTTAATAAGTTTACAAAGGTATGGAATTAATGAAGATATTCACACAGAACATTATAACTATGCTATAACATTACACTATATACAAAGTCAGAAGAGTTTCTTTTGATCTTTTTTGGATGCAAACTTATCAATTATATCTTTAAAATCACTAAGTCAGTTTATCATTTTCTATGCAGAGAATGAATGGATCAGACAACCGATCTTGGGATATTGTTGACTGTAGATCATTCTTTATCCCTTGTAGTCTAGAAAATGATCTTTCACCTAGGTACACCCCTGCTGTTTATAGGAGCCAGGATCAAGTCAATTCAACTCAGTTTGGCTTGTGATTCCAGCAAAGTGGAAAAGAGCCATTGCAAAATGGCAATTGAGGTATGATAATTGACATTTAGAGGGTTACGCAAATAGAAAGAAGGTCTGTTGGTGAATGTGTAGTGATGTAAAAAGGACTAGGAGAAAGCTGGGATGAGAGCAAATTGGTATTCTTTCTTTGTGGGATGTCATTAGGTGCCTGGTGAAGATATGGAGCAGGTGGGCATGTTATGCCAAGAGAGATCTTTCCTAGGAAGTGGGAAAAACTGTTTAAGTTGCCGGTAATACAGCAGGATGGAATTGGGTATCAGGGGAAGATGTAGCTTGGTAGTAAATGTATTTGGCTGGGGAAGGGTTTTAGGGAACTTGGCCTGAAATTCCTTAAAAGCTTGTAACAGGAAATGTATCTTAAGTCCTAAAAAAAAAAAAGCAGTCTTTGAAAACTCCAAAGTAAAGATTAGTAATCCCCCATGTACAAAGTACCCCTTTGATCAATCAGTTGTTAATAGTCCATCTTGCCGCCATTGCGGGTGCCCAGAAACTTCTTGTTTTAAAATATTTTGCAATGGAAAAGGGCCTGCTTGTGGGAGAGGGTTCACTTTCACTTCTGCTGGACCCATGCCATACATTAAAAGGCGTTTATCTAGCTTGGACAGGAAACTTCAGTTATTTTTCAAGTTTATTTTATCAAGCTCTTGTCTTAAATGTTTGTTATCTTGTCTCCTAAAAGGGAACTAATTGGAAAACACCTTAATCGAATTGGAGGAGGAAGAGATGGAGGAAGAAGAATGTGTCGGCCGAGAAGTAGGACCAGTCAGAGCTGCAAAAGCCACTGGGGAAGTTCAGCCTGAGTACAGGATGGAGCGACCAGGATGGGGAGCTTCAGAGAACAGCAAAGGGAAACCTTCCAAGGGGATGCAAGAGCGCTGGGAAGCCCAGTGGCAGGAGTTCCTGAGGACGCTGCAGCCCATCCAGACAGGGGGGCAAAACCCGGTGATGCTGGATGTTGCCCCTTGGGAAGACACCAAGGCCTTTCTGGCCTCCTTCGAGCAGGTGGCCAAGGCCTGCCGGTGGCCTCGAGAGGAGTGGGCGGCCCGGCTCCTGCCGGCACTGAGCGGGGAAGCCGAGCAGGCCTTTCAAAGCCTGGAGGCCGGAGATCAGGAGGACTACGGGAAGGTGAAGGTGGCCATCTTGCGAGGGGAGGCCCTGAGAAGGGAGGTGCAGCGCCAGCTCTTCCGGCAGTTCTGCTGCCAGGAGGTGGAGGACCCCCGGCGGCTGCACCGGCAGCTCCAGGAGCTGTGCCGGCAGTGGCTGAAGCCGGAGCGGCACAGCAAGGAGCAGATCCTGGAGCTGCTGATCCTGGAGCAGTTCCTGGCCAGCCTGCCGCCCGACCTCCAGGGCTGGATCCGAGCGGGAGGGCCGGACTCCTGTTCCCAGGCGGTGGCCCTGGTGGAGGACTTCCTGATGGGCCAGCAGGAGGCTGAGACGGAGAAGTGGCAGGTGAGCTGCTAGTCTTCAGTTTCTAAGGCCTGCAACACAGCGGAGAGAGTGGCTTTGGTTCTTGGAAGCATCTGCAGTCATGTGGTTAAAGGCTGATAGAACTGGTCACATGTAGCAAAACTTTACTCCATCTGCTTAATACCATGCGAAATATCTGCATAGAGAATTGCCAGACACAATGCGTATTTCTGGACCATTATGATTAAATTTAATATGGCTCTATCTTGCCTTGGTGCAAAAGGTTTCAAGGCAATAAATGCCTTGTTTCAGTAACTGAACTCATACATATTGATCATAGCCAATCTAAATGCTCACCTATTCATGACAGGTTTCAAATATGCCTCTTCTAAGTTCTTTTCCAAAACCAGCCATTATGGTTAACAGCTATTGAGAAGCACTCATTGTTGATTACTGTTTCTTAAACGTGAATCCACAACTGTGAGAGACAGTGTTGTTCAGTGGTCAGAGTGTTGGCTCCGAACTCAGGAGATCCAGGTTCTGGCCTCCACTTGGCCATGAAGCTCACTCAGTATGGGCCAGTCATGGATGCTCAGCCTAACCTACCTCACAAGGTTGTTGTGAGGATAAAGTTGAGGAGGGTCATGTAAGTTGCCTTGGGTTTGGTGCAGGAGAAAAAAAAGTGGGGTATAAATGTAATGTAATAATAATACTTCATAGTGCTATTTCTCAGATTCCTCTACTGTGTCCAGTACCTCAAATGCTTTACAATCCTGTTTTCCATCCTCCACATAATAACCCTGCAGGGTAGCTTAAGGGTACCACACTTTAGTTTTTGTGCATTTACGTCAGGGGCAATGAAGCTTTTGCAGTCCTTGGGTTGTATTCTAATCTGGAAAAAAGTCTTGGACACATTCAGAGGCCACTTAGTTTGATGCTCAAGGTATCTCTTCATTTGTGAGCAGGATGAAATGTCTTAATTTCATGCGTGATTGCCTGACCTGCTGAGAATGGGTCTTTTCCCTCTCAGTGACGCAGTCTAGTTCCTGTTTAGACAACAAAAGTCTCGGCTGGTGAATCTTGGGAGTTGTAGGGCTTTTCCTTGTTCAAACTGGCATATTATTGCGCCTTGAGTGACGCATGGGACCAGAGTACAGCTAAAACTTAGGGCCGTCTGAGTATAATTCCAGGCCTAAGATCTCAGAGACCACTACAGCAAACATAGAAACAGTTTGCTGTTAGAAGAAACTGTTAGAGTCAGAAGGGGCTTCCTGAGCCATCTAGTCTGACATCTAGTCTGGCTCCAGCCGGCTCCGCTCATGACCTGCTCACCATCTTCGGCATCTCTGCTTCCAAAAAAAGCAAGAACGAATTACATGTCACCAGAGGCAGCAGTGTTGAAATTCACACCCTCATGCCATCAAGAATAACAGCCACAGATTTTACTATGAATTTGTCCAATTTTAAGCTGTCCACATTGGTGGCCATCACTACATCTTGTGGAAGTGAATTCCATAGTTTAACTATTCCATAATTTAGTCCTTCCTTTGGTCTGTCCTAAATCTCCCACCAATCAATTTCATGTTCCAGTCTTAGAGAGAAAAATACCTGCCAGGTCACTCCACACCATGCATAATTTTCTATACCTCTGTCATGTTTCCCTTTATTTCCCTTTTCTCTAAGCAATACAATCCCAGATGTTGTAACCTTTCATCATAGGGGCCTTGCTCCAGGGCCTTGATCACTTTGTTTGCCCTTTTCTGCACTTTTTGCAACTCCACAGTATCCTATTTTGGATACAGTGACCAGAACTGTGCAAGCCATTCTACCCAGAGTGGCACCACGGGTTTGTCTAAGTGGAGTAAGGTATTGGCAGTTTTATTCTCAATGCTATTCCTAATTATGCCTAATGTGGAGTTTCCCTATTTCACAGCAGTGGGTTGATTCTTCTGCTGAGCTGTCCACTATTACCCCAAGATCTCTTTCAGTGGTAGTTCAGATCCCATCAGCTTATATGCAAGATTGGGCTAGTGCTGGCATGGAAATCTCCCCCCACCCCCCGCATCCATGTTTGGCCCAGCGTGGAGAGGGACCCATCCCTGTCTGAAAACCTTGATGAATTCTTGAAAGCTGACAGGTTTAGTTTTTCCCACTGTGTAGATGCAGTGATGGCTACAACACTGCAAATCGTGGAACTTTGGCAGCTATGTGAAGGCAATGAAGGGAGCAGGGGCTTTAAATTCACCGTGCTCTTCATAACTTGTAACAAATAGTCTTACGAGAACCCGCAAAAAGTCTACAGAGGAGGGCAACACGGATGATTCAGACTGGAGGCTAAGCTGTATGAGGAAAGATTGTGAGGACTGGGCATGTTAAGGCTTGAGAAGAGGAGAGAAGACACTGAGGGTTGATATGATTGCACTGTACAAGTTCCTGAAAGGCTGTCACAAAGAGGAAGGACAAGATCTCTTCTCTCCCATTCCAGAGTGCAGGACACGGAATAACAAACTTAAGTTAACAAAACCAAATTTAGATCAGACGCCAGGAAAAAATTCCCCACTGTCAGAGCAGTACGACAGTGGAATCGATTAGTTGTGGAAGTTGTGACCTTTCCTTGCTGAAGACATTCAGAAAGCGTCTGGACAGCCAACTGAGAGGGATGGTGTGAATTGGTGTCCTGCAAGAGCAGGGGGTTGGACCTGATGGCCTTCTGCCCCCTTCCAACTCTACCATCCTATGATTCTGTAGAGCTCTTGAGACGGTTGAGCAGAAACTGTCCCTTGCCCATCGCGGTCCCTCTTCCAGCAGTGTCCCTCTGTTCTGAGCAGGATCCTCCTGTCTGTTTCAGGGGCCGATGAAGGAGGAGTGCATGGATTCCCTGGGAGCAGAGGAAGAGCCTTTCAAAGCTGTGAAGGGGCAGGTCTACAGAGGAGCCGAGCAAAGTTGCCTCGTGGAGATCAGTCCATTTGGTAAGGAGTCACAGAGCTGACAGAGGAAGAGTTCTGCTTCTTGTGCTTGTGGGCTGCGTGTGCTGACCAGATTGAGAAGCAAGGCCAATTTCCTGTACTTGTGCCAGCATTACAGAAGAGGGGATTTGGGCTGATGGAGATTAGGGGGCCGCGGCAGGTGTATTTCCCTCTTTGGTGCTGGTATTAAAGGCAGAGGATGCTTGCCTCTTTACAGACGTGCAAGATTCAGTCATCTCTGTCCCAAGATTTTTGCTGTAATGCATACCGTATTTCCCCAGAAATAAGACCTAACCGGAAAATAAAGCCCTGGCATGATTTTTCAGGATGCTCAGAATATAAGCCTTACCCCCAAAATAAGCCCCAGTTAAGATTGTCAGCCAGATGGATGCATTTAGTATGTCCATTGCAACATACGACGGACGTATTGAATTATAAATAATAACATTAACATATAATTAAATATAGACAAATATTATTGGCATTAATACTTAAAATAAATGATCATATACATTATAATTAAGTATTTGTAAATACCCAAGCGGATGCCTTTGGACGAGAGGTAGAGGCCCATGTAAACAGATAGACTCGAGGCTCATTGCCAAATTACCATTCAGTGTACCTACACAGCACATGAATAACGTGTGCACTTGTTTACAAACGGATGTGTTTCAATATGTCGTGTGTTGTAACGGACGTACTTAATGCACTCGTGTGTTGCCACTTTTGTCTCATGAGTCTTCAGTTAATGCTTGATTTAATGGTAGATTTAAAGGGAATAATATTTTGACCCCCAGACGAGATGAGTGCAAAACAAAAGAGCTATTCCGTTGAGTACAAGAAAGGAATTACGGAGGACTCTCGGGGCAAGAATCTTACGGCTTTCGTAAGAAAAAAATAAGACATCACCTGAAAATAAGCCCTAATGCGTCTTTTGGAGCAAAAATTAATATAAGACCCGGTCTTATTTTCGAGGAAACACAGTAGGTTTCAGCAGTATGATTCATATCTAAGGATTCCACTTTGATCAGTTTCATCAGGATTGTGACTTTCCAGATCATTATTCCAGCCTCTCAGCCTCTTGTGTTTGAAATAAGTAGGCAAGATTAGAACTGATGCTGCAGAGCAGCTCAGCTCGTCTGTACATACCAGGCCAGCTGTCTTCTTCATCAAGAAACGCAGAGCTGGAAAACCTGTCCCCCTCCAGGAGTTGTCGGACTACAATGCACGGGAGTTGCGGTCTAACAATATTTGCAGGGACGTAAGGTCCCCCACCCAGGCTGGAAAGAAGCCAGCTCTGAAGAAGGCGAGCAAGACATGTTGGGTGTGTACCTGGTTATGTTCCAACATAATGTGGAGGAGGAATGGATGCTGGCAAACGTCATTCCTGACCTAAGGGAGTTTTGCTTTGTTTTTCCCTTTAGGTTGGCTATTTGGAATGGCATTTGAATGCTTTCAAAAATGTTGTTGCTGTCTGTTTTTAGAGCTTATTTTGCTCCTGTTTTTAAACGCTTTTTTCTGAGCATTGGTTCTTAGGATATTGGTTTATATGCTACAATTTGTATGCCACTGTGGGGTGAGCCTTTCAGGCAGAAAACAAGGTGTAAAATAAAAAACGGACATTCTAAAAATGAAGGGGTAGAAAGTTTCCCTTTCTAAAACCCTCCTTCCATCTTTTGCAGGCAGTGGAATTAAGTGTCCAAGAGTTACCAACCGATTGCTTCCTTCTGAAGGACAGGGAATGGTCCACACTGGTGTGAAGGAGGTATGTGATATTCTGTTGGGAGAATACAAGGGTCAAGATAAGACATTTGCTCCAGTAGCTGGCCAAATGGTTCCTTTAAAAGCACACCCAACTCCATGGGATATTTGCTGGCTTGCTTGTTTGTTTTCTGTACCACCTAATAGCCAAAGTTCTCTGGGCAGTTGCAACACACAAAAATGCAGTATAAAATTTGAACTACATTAAAACATCATGAAAAGGTTACCATACAGAAATTAAAAACCACATTTAAAACATGTATCAAAATTACAATAGTTTATACAAAGTAAATTGTTCCTTATGTGCCTGCCCGCCCCTTGAGATCTGAGGCAGAGCTCCTTCTCCAGGAGCCCTCTTTGAAGGAAATTAGGAGGGTAACTATCCAGAGAAGGGCCTCGTCAGTGGTGGTGCCCCGACTGTGGAACACGCTCCCCAGGGAGGTTTGCCTGGCACCGTTGCTTTATTCTTTTCAGCGTCAGGTGAATACCTTTTTATTTTCCCAATGTAACAGTTAATTGGTTTTATCTTTGATTTTATCATTATTTATCAGACGCAGTGTGTTGTGTGCTGTTTGTTATATATGGGTGCTTTGTTTTTTGAATTTTTGTAAGCCATCCAGAGACTTTAGTATTGGACAGCATTTGAAAACTTTAAATAAATACTAAACAACTTTAAATAAATAAATTATAGGACACGTTTAAGCAGCTAGCAAAGCCTCAGTTAACTAATTGAATGTCCTGTGGTGGAGGACAGTCTTAACCTGGCACCAAGAAGATACTAAGGTTGGTACAAGGCGGACCTCAGTGGGAAGCTCTTTCCATAACTGTGGGGATGGGGGAGGCCACCACTGAAAAGGCCCTTCTGGTTGCCACCGACCAAGCCTCCCTCAGAGGTGGCAATTGGAGGCAGACCCTGAAACCTGATCATAGCGTCTGCGTGGATGGCCGTTGGGAGAGGCGTTCCATCAAGTATCGTGCTCCCAAGCCCTGTAGGGCTTTATCGTTAAAGCCAGCAACTTGGGTAAAGCGGCTCGGAGAAGATTTCCACAGGAGCACGCCTGTTTGCAAGCTGGATTGCATGCAGGGGCCCACGCCGAATGTTGCAAACAAGGACCTGCTCTCTCAAAAATGGGGCACTGCAAAACAGCCCTTGGAAATGTTGGGGGGGGGGGTGCAACAAAGTTCTTTTGTTCATCTCACTGAATATTTATAGCTGCAGAATTGCTCAGTGTGAATGTGGAATCTTTGGTGGTCTTTCTTCTGCAACAAACTCTGAACATGCTTGGTGACCTTTGTCCTGCAGGAACCGATGGATCCCAAGGAAACCAGCCTGTCTTTGCAACTGGTCAAGCAGAGTTTGAACCAGCCAGGCCAACAGACCATAGTCTGGCAAGTCCTGCAGGAGGAGGCTGGGAATGTAAATTCTTTGGGTAAGATGCTTTTTAGCTCAGGTTCAGAAAACCTAGGAAACCGCACCAAATCCAATTTCTGTTTGTTGAAGTGAAAAGAATTGAGCGGGAGAGAGTGAGGTCCTCTTCTAGATTCCAAATCCATATATCTGAAACAAAGCAAGCTGCAAATGGATGTTATTCCGTTCCCAGTTATTTTAACTGACAGACGGAACAGAAGCTGGGAAGGCGGATGAAAAAGTGGGGAGGTGCGCTGTGGCTGAGTCGGGGAGTGAAATCGGCCTGTGCCTCTTTGCCCAGGCAGCTTCGCCTCCCGTCCCTCCATCCTCGGGCCATTCCTTCAGACCCTGCTCTTGTCAGCAGCTGCTGCTCAGACTATTAAGTATGCCAGGCTTTGCCTGTGGCAGGCATGTGAATGGTCTGCTATGTACATTGGAATTGTGAGTAGTTTCCTCCCCATATGATAGGAGCAAAGATCCAGCAATCAGGCTTTTGTTGCTAGTTGCAAAGTCATGTCTGACCCATCGCGACCCCATGGACAACAGGCCTTCCTGTCCTCCACCATCCCCCGGAGTCCACTCAAGCTCACACCAACTGCTTCAGTGACTCCATCCAGCCACCTCATCCTCGGCCGTCCCCTTCTTCTTTTGCCATCTATTGTTCCCAGCATTAGGCTCTTCTCCAGGGAGTCCTTCCTTCTCATTAGGTGGCCAAAGTATTTGATTTTCATCTTCAGTATCTGGCCTTCTAAAGAGCAGTCAGGGTTGATCTCCTCTAGGACTGACTGGTTTGTTCACCTTGTGGTCCAAGGCACTGACAGGAGTCTCCTCCAGCACCACAATTCAAAGGCCTCAATCCTTTTGTGCTCAGCCTTGCTTATGGTCCAGCTTTCACAGCCATACATTGCAACTGGGAAAACCATAGCCTTGACTATACGCACTTTTGTTGGCAGGGTGATGTCTCTGCTTTTTAGTATGCTGTTTAGCTTTGCCACAGCTTTCCTCCCCGGCTTTAGTCAAAGGCAAATCAGGTCACACTCCAGAATTTCCCACATTTAATCTTAGGATTTACAAATCAGTTCAGCAGAGAGCTAACAGCTAGCTCTAGGCTTAAGTTAAGGAGCAGTCCAGCAGTAAGGGCATAGCTGTACTGAGGAGCTTAATTTAGGGGCTCAGAGATCCGGGTCAGTGATGGAAAATTCGAAACCAAGCCATGCTTCATGCTTCAAGAGGAGTCGCGATACAACCCAGGTGGAGACATTCCCCAAAGGAGCATCTTTGTGCTCAGGAACTCAAGGCTGGCCCAGGAATGGCTGCAGCGAGGCAGAACCTGCTCTCAGGGTAGCCCTTGGAGAGGTTTGCTACTTGGCAGGGCTGCTGGCTGAACTAAAGCCTCTGGGATTAACAAACAAACCCCTGAAGGACCTTAGGTCTTAGAAACAGTCCCCAGTGCAAAATTTCCACATGCTGTAGCCCAGGTTGAACCCGGTTCCAGATTTTAAGAAATAAGTTATGGCGGTGCCTCTAGCCTGTACTTCCGGAATGCATGTGGCTGAATTTTATGTCAGCCTGGGTGCAGGGATTCAGGAACTGATGACCCCACAAGGAGACAGCCATGGTAGGGAAGTTTTCCTTTCACTGAAAGGGCCTTTTGCACCTAATCATTCAGGAGATAGGCCTGGAATTAAACCAGGCTGGAAATTCATGCAAATAGGCAGGGCTCAGGCCTAACAAGAGAGTCCTGCATGTCAAGTCAAAGCAACAGTATTAAAAGTTACAGAGGTATTTGGATTCCCGGATTCAAGGTAGCTGACGGTGCTCTGAATTCAGAGGGGGGGATCTGCCACCACTTCCTTTTTTCCCATAATCGGCTGAGAAGCGGAACACCGTAGCCATCTCCTTTCCACAGGCTGAATCCTACTTTGGTTCAGAAGTGTCAAGGCCTACAAGCCCAAGCTATTTGCCCATTGATAGGCAGGCTGGTGTTGATGTCACAAAATCCTTGCAGCAGCTTCAGAGTCAGGAGGCAGGGGAGCAACTTGCTCAAAAACCTCAGAGTCAAGAGGAAAGGAAGCGGCACCCTGCTCAAAAAAACTCAGAGCCAGGATGTGGGGAAGCTGCTCGCTTGGAAGCCTCAGAGTCGGGCGGCCGGGGGGGGGGGGGGGCGTTTGAGCCATGTGCACCAAGTATAAATCCCCCTGCTTCAACGCCCGACCCTCACTGTGAGCTTCTGGCCCTCTCTCGCGTGCCAATGCCTCTGCCGAGCCGTTAGGCATGACAGCCTGGCTTCTGGAGCTTTGAGCCTGGTCCCTGGATTGAGCCATCCAGCAAGAGGTCCTGTTGCCCACCTGCTTTACAACACCTTGCCCGCTCACCTTGTAATGCTGAGCAGCATCCTCCAAAAGAGCTGAACTGGTGCCCCACATGGTCTGATGAGTCAAGGCAGCGATAGCAAATCAGGGCCTCATCGGAGATGCAGAAGAGCTGAACTCCATAAAACCATCATATTGGCCAATCAGATTTATATGAAGATGACTCCAAGATCATCCAGTCCTGAATCCTGCTTCCTGCAGAGGTTCACAAGATACCCACAGCGACCCTTTTGTGGCCCTCCATAGCATGGTATTCATTGTCATGCCGCCTACAAACATGGCATTTCCACTGAGCCTTCATGACTAAACGCCACTGAGAGATGATCTAATCCCTCTCGGTGCTACTAGTTATCAGCATATCATGTAGCAGAGAGTTCGTTGGTCCTTGTGCATTCTGTGAAGTTACACCCTGTGGTCTGTTTTGATTCCGTTCACCAACTTTATCAGGTGACTTGAAGTTCTAATATGTGGTGAGCAGGAAAAACAGTTCTTTCTCTCCACCGTATTCACATCATGCATGATTTTATAAACAAGTCCCATGTTCCTTTTCCTCAGACAAAGTTAAAAGATGATTCCAAAATAAAACACAGTAAAATACAAACAGATAAAGCATTTCAAAACCCAAGACCATCTGGCATCAAGTGGATTTCAAGGCTTTTAAAAGTGACTTCTCAGGAGGCCAAAGATATAGGGCCTTATATTGGGTGTTATATGTTCATTTTTATATTCAGTTCTTATTATTTCTGTTGGTGAACTATCTGCCAATTACCTTGATTTTCTTACAGATCTCACAGTTCTTTGGGGGAATAGATTGCAGGAAGTAGTAGTAGATTCCTGCTTTAATTTATTTCTGGGCTCTATTAGTGATTGGTGTTTTGAATTACTTTATGCATGAAGTGCCTGATGTTGTGCTTGATATAATTTAAATCCATAACCTTAGCTAGAAGGAGAAAGTCAAAAAGAAAGAAACATGGATGTAGATTAGATGGAGCAGTAAAGCGGAAGGAAGTTATTCAGACATCTTGATGTGAGGTCACCAGAACATGGGCAACATTTCTCCTTCTGTTCCTACAGGTGATGAGAAGGGAAGTCAGGTCAAAATTGAGAACTCTCCGTGTGGAGGAAATGAGCCAGAAGATATTCCTAGGAGAGCCCCACAGATAAATCAAGGAAGTGTGGTGACAGCTGAGCTGCAGGAAGAAGGATGTGAGTCAAGAGGGGAACAGGTGGGGCAGCCTGTGAAGAGAGAGAAGGAATTTAATGAGTTCATAGAAGGTCTCACCACTGTGCTGAGCCAGTCTTCCGAAGGACACAGAAGTGATCACATGCCCATGTTCTCCAAATATGGCAGAAGGTATTGCTACAGATCAGAACTTGATATGACAGTGACCACAGAGGATTACAGTGCATGTCCCATGTCCGAGGGGACAATGCAGCAAAATTTATACTCTGATAAACAGGGAACTGCCACGGGAGAGGAAAAACACGAATGTTCTGAGAGTCCGAAAATATTCACTTTTAGACAAACATTAGAGAGTCATCAGGGAATTTATACTGGGGAGAAATCATACAAATGTTCTATGTGTGGTAAAAGCTTCAGACAGAGTTCGACATTGATGAGTCATCAGAGAATTCACACTGGAGAGAAACCCTACAAATGTGCAGAGTGTGGGAAATGCTTTCGGGAGAGTGGAAAGTTGAAGATTCATCAGCGGATTCATACTGGGGAGAAACCACACAAATGTTTTCAGTGTGGGAAAAGCTTCAGGAAGAGTGAAAATCTGAAGAAACATCAGAGAATTCACACTGGAGAGAAGCCACATAAATGCTCTCAGTGTGGGAAAAACTTCAGGCAGAGTGAAAATTTGAAGAAACATCAGAGAATCCACACTGGAGAGAAACCCTACAAATGTCCCCAGTGTGGGAAATGGTTCAGTCGGAGTGAAAATTTGAAGATTCATCAGAGAATCCACACTGGAGAGAAACCCTACAAGTGCCCACAGTGTGGGAAATGCTTCCGTCGGAGTGAAAACTTGAAGGAACATCAGAGAATCCACACTGGAGAGAAACCATACAAATGTTCTCAATGTGGAAGATGCTTCAGACACAGTGCAACCTTGATGACTCATCAAAGAATTCACACCAAAAAGAAACAATAAGAATATTCAGAGAATGAGAAGTGCTTCATCCAGGGAAATTTGAAGGAACATCAGCAAATTCATACTGCCCGTGTGAAAGTCATCAGTATGAGAAAAGCCTCGTGTCAGAGAAGGCATTTGAAGGGTTATTGGAGAACCGATCAGTGGCAGTGTTGCTCAAATATTATGAGTGAGGAAGAAGCTTCTCTCTAAGAGAACTCATGGAGGACAGTGGCTTTATGAATGCAAGAAGAATTTTCCTCTGATAAGTGCAATAGTTAAGCTTCGGAGAGCATTAATATATCCATGGGTAGGGAAGCTCTACTTAAATGCAATTTTTAAAATGCAGATGAGAGAGAAATTGGGTAGGAGAAGCTGGATTGGACATCAGAATAAATAAAGAGAGAACGCATATGAACAGATTGACTGGGTGACAGTGTCATCATAATTAACTCGGCCTCAAATGTCCCTACCTAAGATGAGGGTAATTATTTTCAGCCTCAGAGACCTTCCCTCTCCATTGTGGAGAGTCGGTTTATTTCTTAGCTCTTACTGCAAGATGCTTTAAATTTTTTAAAATTTATGTTTCCCATCATCCAAAAAGGCCCACGTCTGAGCAAATATAAATGTCTTATTTTTGCTTATACTTTATTGGTCGGTCAGAGAATTAAGAAACTGCCAAATCTCTGTAGCCTCTGTAGGTGGTGATGTTGCTGTGACAACCATAAGAAGAGACGTTGCTGAGGGTTCAAAAACTAGTCCAATCTACAAAGAAAGGCCAGTCAATCTATTAGTTTCGATAGTTCCCATCCAAGATACATCACTGGACGACAGGAGCCTGGCCAGAGGAGGAGGAAGGTCACATGCCATTTTGTTTTCCCCACCAGCTTCAGTTGGAAACAGAAATTGCTATGCCGTTTGCAAATCTGGAGATGCGGATTCTTGGTAAAGGGTGCGACAGTTTCCAGGGTTGATGTCCGCTAGGACAAATGTGCCCAATAGAAGAAAAGGCTGGATTGCTCTTTGCCATGTCTTCACGTACGGAGGAAGGATCCACTTCGTTCGTAATGGCTCCTGTTTGTGAATGGAGATCTTTTGGTGGTTGGAGGGGTAGTATAATTCCAATCCCTTTTTGTCACTAAAGGTTGCATATATTCTGCTGAAATTGTGGTACTTTGGAACAGAAACACATGCTAAAATTTGCCCATTGTGGCCTCCTCTATAACAATCCTCAGTATTATTAATTGCTACTGCATTTTATCTCCCCTCCCCAGCCCCAGGAACTTGGTTCAGTGAAACTATTGATGTTACTAGTCCTCTGTGACCTTGATGAGAGCGGGAAGTGCAGAAATGGGAAGGCAAACCTTTTCTGACTTGCTGATTGGTGCAGATCCTGTTAAAGACATACATGCTTGAGTGAAATGCTGCCAAATGTTCTACCAAGACTACCAAGAGAGCTGGCATGGTGTAGTGGTTAAGAGTGCAGGACAGGGACTCAGGCAGTCTAGGTTCAGTCCTCACTCAGCCATGGAGCCCACAGGGTGACTTTGGGCCAGTCACAAACTCTCAGCCAACCTACCACACAGGGTTGTTGTTGTGGGGATAACATTGCGAGCAGCAGGAGGAGAATGATGTAGGCTGCACTGAGTTCTTTGTGAGAAAAAAGGAGGGATATATAGCAGGAATAGGAGAATTAAATAAGCCACTTGTGAGTTTGATGTAAGGGAAAAGTGGGATATAAATCTAATAAATAAGGTTGGCCAACAGTAGTTTTCCTGACTAGCTAAGTGGAAAAGAGTTTTCCCTGCAGAAAGGGATCAAACAAGGGACTCTCTACCTTCTTGTGGAGGCTCTTAGGTGTTGGTGTGCAAGATTTGTGGTCCTCCAAATATTTTGCTTTACAACTAACTCCTTTAAAACATAGACAGCAAAGCCAGTGGTGAGTACTTATGGGAATTGAAGGTGAAAATGGGAGATTTTAAGAGCAGTTTGAAAGACTGAAATTAACAGTCAGGAGTCAAGAGAAATAATGAGTGAGGGAATCCAGAGATTAAGTACATTTCTTTTGAAGAAAGTATTGGGGACATTCCTTCCAGAAGAGGAGGGCAGGCCATCAGTGCAAGAACCAAGAAATTCCGTTCGGGGGTTTTTTGTGACGAACAATAGCTGTCTCCAAGGGATGCCGGTGGGACCCCTCATGCGGTGCAGCTTTTCTTTCCCACTGGTTAGGAGCTACCTTGGTGCCAAACTGATTTTAGAGGAGGAGTTCCTATGAAGCTGAAAAGAATAGCAGCAAAGGACACCAGCCTTTCCTGGACATCTCTCCTTCCTCCCAGATCCAAAAACAAGTCGAAGGTCCTGTTGGTGGGCGGTTCAGCCTTCCAGGCAAGTGACTTGGGCCCTGCCCTGGATGGGGTTGCACTCCCCCCAAAGAACAGGGTGCCCAGTTTGGGAGTGCTCCTCGCCCCAGAGCTGTCCCTGGAGCCTCAGGTGGCAGTGGTGGCGAGGGGCTTTTACCTGGATGGGCGCTGCCTGGCCATGGTGACCCATGGACAGGTAACTTCCCAATTGGACTACTGTAACATGCTCTGTGTGGTGCTGCCCTTGAAGACAGTCCGGATACTTCAATTGGTTCGGAGCAGAGCTGCCAGGATGTTAACAGGGACCAGCAGGTATTCACAAATAACACCGGTGCTTTTCCATCTACATTGGCTACCAGTTGAAGCCTGGGCCCAATTTAAGCTGCTGGTGATGACCCATAAAGCCCTAAATGGCTTAGGACCTGGATATCTGAAGGGGCATCTTCCTTCCTTATGTGCCTGCCCACGCCTTAAGATCTGGGGCAAAGGCCCTTCTTCGGGAGCCCTCCTTGAAGGAAATTAGGAGAGTGGCTGCCCAGAGAAGGGCCTTCTCTGCGTTGGCACCCCAACTATGGAATATGCTCCCCAGAGAGGTTCGCCTGGTGTCAATACTTTATTCCTTTTGGCGCCAGGCTAAAACCTTTTTGTTTTCCCATTTTAAGGTTTGAGTCTGGTTTTAATGTGGAGTTTTATTGCATAAACAATCAATTTGGATGCTGTGCACCACTTTGTTTTATTGTAAGACTATCTGGAGACCTCAGTAGTGGACAGTATATAAAAGTTTTAAATAAATAAAAATAAAATAAAAGCGGTGAGTTGCCTGAACATAGAGAGGCAAGTCAAGCAGCTGAGGAGGGTCTTTTCTGACCCTCCTCAACTGTAGAGGGCCTGGCTTTGTTCAAGGAGAGGTTTCCCAAATGTTGAAGATAGAAGGAGGCGTTTCCGAGGGCAACAGAAAAAGGGGACTGCGGGTCTTCTGTCTGGCTACAGTATAGCCATAAAGTAAATATTCCTCATGGTCCACGAGGGGTTACAACTTTAAATCAAATGGATTTAAATCATGATTTCAATCATTAGTCAGTATGACTAGATTTAAATCATGGTTTTGCATGCCTGCCTGCCTTACCCATAGGGTGAGGAACTCCATTAAATTATTCCCAAACTGGGTCTCTTTTTTATGGCCTGCTGCTATTATAGGTTTTCTCCTCCAGGGAAAGAAGAATGTGATACACTTCAGGCTGTACACAAAAGGACCCCAAAACTTGTGGCGTATTTTGCGCAAAAAGTTTCACTTTAATTTTTAGGGCTTGCCCCTCCCTCCTCTCAATTAGCTTCTTGTGTAGATCTATTCCACTCCCAATAGTCTTCTGTTCGTTGAATTTTTTGAAACTTAGCGCTTAAGAAGTAAGGGGTTGCTTCTGGGAAAATAGATTTGCAAAATAACCATGGGATTAAAGTCTTTTTTCCAGTTCTGTATTTTTTTTATAACATTTTTGCTGCGAAGAAGAGGCACATGATCTCTGCAGACACACATTCACAGTTTTGAGAACTATAAAACCAAGCATCTGTGATAACAGTTCCTAGATAGAAAAACTGCCAAGTCCAATAAACTTACAGAAACCTCTGGAATAGCATGACATTGTGAATAGATTAACGGGATTCATTTACCAAAAAATTTAAACATTGCATGAAAGTACCACCTTCTGCTACATAATTAAAAACTAGTCCTTATTTCATGATGAATAACCTTTGGATTATCATGTATCTTATATAGAAAACTATGTTTAGTTAGGTTTTTCTTCAAAAAGCGTTATATTGAAAATCTGATTTCAATTAAGCAATCCAATTTGAATTTTTAAAATCAATTTAAAATTTTAAAATCTGATTTTTTTAAAAAAATCATCAATTTGTATCCACCCTGCTGCAGACTCGCTGGGGCCTCTTGGCTTGAGGGCTATGGCTGTGCCATGCACAACTCATAGGCTGATACTTTCCATAATGTATATTTATGTTTTTAATCCTGGGGATAGAGAGGTAGGGGGTGAGAAGCTGTTACACCTCAAAAGTGCAGGTGGAAGGGATGGAAGGCAGTGATTGCTGAAAAAATACGGAATAAACCTCCTCTAGCTAGAGCAAGGGTCTGACCTGTTTGGCTGGGCCCATTTGGATATTTGGGAGTGTCGTGGTCAGTCTCACAAAATGGTTGCCACAGACAGGCTTGCCCATTCTTAAAATGGCTGCCATGATGGCCGTGGCCCAATCACAAAACATTCTTTTTCTGGAAGGTGACACCAGTGGAAAGTAACTAGTCTAAAAGCCTAACCACAAGGCAGAGGTGGTAGAAAATACAAAACCGTGGTTTTGAACCCAAGCAAACATTTTGAACCTAAATGAACAGCAGCACTTCCTAGCAGCGCAACCTCCCAGTTAAAAAACCATTTAAACTGCTCTGAGGAGATTTAAGTGAAATCAAGATCGAAAAGAAGCTTGAAGAAGGGACACCAAGGGAGGTGTTTGTGGACAGACTGGTACCCTGTATCAATAAATCCTTCCCAAAATGGAGAGATCAAATAACTCTGCTTACAGAACCAGTATCTGTAGTCAGCTTGAGGGACACTGGAACTCCCTGCTACAAGATATAGCTGTGGCAAAAAAATTACCAAATAGGTTTGATCAATATAAAATATTACTAGGAATAGCCAGCCCAGATTATGCTGTCTCTATCTGTCAATACTGTGGGACCAAGAGGCCTCTCACAAATCAGCCTTTGGAGTAAAAAGTTGAGAATCTCTGTTCTTGTGGATGCCCTGCAGCTGCAGCAGTTGCAGGTAGATATGGGGCTTTTCTATGCAAGGCAAGAGGATTCTATGCAATCTTCCAGTTTGTCATCCAGACTGGGATCCATGCATGACTCAAGGAGTATTTTCTTTCCTGCTGTTCCACAGCGTGACTTCTAGTAGGCACTGTGGCATTGCAAAACAGTGCAAATATACAAGAGGAAATTGCACCTTCTTTTGCCATCTGAAATAATACTCTTATTTTCCCTGCTCTAAAAAAACACAAAATGTGCTGTTTACAAAACAGATATGAAATTCACAGAAGCTGTAAACAACCATGAGTAGGAAGTGATGTAGAGTTTAGACAATTTTCTTTCTATACCTTAGCAGAAGGATTTAGAAAACTAAATTAATTGGCCAAGAATTTGGCATAAAGCTGGATCGACCACATTAATGAGAATGAATCTGCTCACTACTCTCTTTTATCCTGCCTGGACATCTCATGTTCTTTCTCCAGAGCATACTTTCCAGGCAAAATAATGTTTATTTCTCTGTGAAATCCAGAATTCCTTTGGCTCTTCCTACCCAGGTTTTGCAGTATTGATCAGTACCTTTATCCATTTTATTCCCCTTACAAGTGGTAAACATTGTCAAAACAGTAGTGGAGCTAAGGCATTCACTGTTTTCTGCAGGCCTCATGTTCTCAAGCTTCACAAACTTCAGAGGTATCCAAGATGTACAGAGCTAAGCATCTATGAAGCAATTAATATTCAAGACATTTATCTATCTATTTGTATTGCTCAGAAGTTAAGCCCTTTTGGCAGTTTACAACGGCATATAAAATACAGGCAATCGTGAAGTCAAACATTTCATTACCAAATGTACAGGCCAATTTTAAAACCAAATTTAAAACAATGTCAAAGCTTTTCCCTTGTAGTGGAGGGCAGGACGCGTTCCAATGGAGCAAAGCTCGGGGAACCAAGATTTAGGGTGGATGCCAGGAAATACTTCCTGACAGGATCCCGAGG